ATCCAACAACCACCCAGCCAATGAAACGAAACAACCGCGCATATTTACATTCAGGGGGGCTGCATTGTTGTATGAAGGTTTCAGGAATAGGTGGATGTTCTGACCGAGAAGATCGCTTGCCTTATTTCTAAAAGTGACCAAACAGTGCGACCCTAGAAAAGCTCATTCCGCTCCATTGAAAAGGCTGTACGTATTACGAGTACCATCCTTCGTACGGTGTATCTGTGTACAGGATTCGCCAACAAGCTTACTGTAAACCTAAAAAATGGGTTCGGCATGTGAGCCAACATGATTCTCACCTTGAAGGATTAACCCCACGACCGGCATAATATGTCATTGGTCAATGGACAAGAATAGGCTGTGACCAACCAACTTCAGGAAGGGGACAAGGGCCATAAGGCGGAGGTGCGGCGAGGGTCATTGGAAGCGAAGTCACAATTAAACTAAAAAGGAGACATCGGATACGAGTACATAGCCAATGATGGCTGCGTATTTGCATGCCAGGAAATGAAAAGCGGTATATTGTTGCGCTGTTGGTAGAAACCAACTCAAGTGGTATCGATATAGAGGTATTTTTAGTTCACACCCTGGGGGTTTTCCAAATTCCATACGATGTATTTCGCATTTGCTTTCCCCTTGCGATACCCTTAGCTAAACTGGGTCATTATAGAGAAGGCCAGAAGCAAACGCAATAGCTTTGCATAATTTCATACCCAAAATACCTTTTAGTTTTCTTCTGTCAGGTAAGGCATCATTTTCGTCCGTCAAATCCCCAAGCTCTTCCTAATACTCTCTGCTTCTTATATGGATCATCTTCGTTATCTTCCGGGTCCTCCATTTGCAACTCAGGCGATACAAGTGTTAAGAATGTCGTTGGGGTAATTGTCTTGTTTGGCGGCTGCGCTCGTCGAGCTGTATTTCCCAAGTCTTCGTGAGGGGTAAAAGGTGCATTCAGAGCAACCGCTGGAGACTCGAGAGTTGCGTCTGTTTGTGTCGTCCTCTTCGCCAACTCCCATCTTTCAATCTCGACCAAGAAGTTCTGGAATAGAACTTCCTCCGATCTCTCCATTATAGTCGTTTTCAACGTGATCCTGATGAGATCTGCAAGAGCCTTGGGGTTCGTGATACGGGTGTCGGGATGAGCTGAAGCTGCCCATGCGGCCCATTTGTCGTTTTCGTTCAGCCAAAGCTCAGCTATCGACCGAAGTTCGTTGACAAGCTTAGCGTCGGAAGGTGACAAGAAGGCGTTGCAGGGCGGATCCAAGATCGAAGGTAGGATGGCGTGGGAGTGAGTTGGGTTGCAGGTTGTGCTGGAAAAGCGTGCGGAATATCGGACTGGAGGTTTCAAGTGTGTGCGTGCAGTAGCTTTCTGTGAAGTACGAGGTACTTGACGCGGTTTCGAAGGTCGCAAGTAGGTAAAACACTTTCCCCAAAGGATTTCCAAAAGAGCTATTTGTAGTGGCTGGAGTCTTTCTTTCCTCTTAGCGGCCCTGGTAGGAATATGAAACTCGAAGCTATTCTTGCGCAATTCTTTGGTCAGGCGAATGATGTCTCGGTGATCCAATGGTCTAGAATGGTTCGGAGCTACCCATGGGTAGTATGGGAGATCGATTCCCTGGGCACGATTGTTCCACGTCCATTTGCGAACTTCCTCTTTCAAGGAATAGACGAGGTGGTATTCGGGACGCTGTAGATAGACCCTTTTGTCTATCTTGTTGATGGCGTCCAGGAGGATGTAGAATTGGCTGGTTTCTTCTCCCAGATTCTTCAAGCTCGACATGGTAGGAGACTATGAAAACTTCTGCTTACGAGACTCTTAGCAAGATGAATAATAAAGAGACGAATGGCTTGAAGTCGGGGTTAGTTATGGGTGCTGAGATCTGGGTAGTTTTTCTTCAACCACCCATCTTGCATTCACAAACCCGAAGAAGCCATTATTCACACAATCTATGGCTATACGGCATCATCATTGATATTAGATTATATTGATTGCCCTTTTCAACGGTCTATCTTGTTGGTTCTCAAAATTATATAATTAGCAATTGTAAATTTGTAAGTGTAGCCGACTGCCCCAAATGAATTGATACTCTCGGGATATACTTAAGTGAGATGCTATACTTTGTACTCCAACAGACAGGAGAGTACTTTGCTGTCGGGATAAAATCACCTTGGGGTGTGGCCGAAATTTTCATTTTGTGAGGAAGTGATTTATTTGTCTTTAGTAATGGTTTACTGCGAGTGTGAAAGGAAGCCATGGGCGCTGGTCGGTCGGACTATGCTAGCGATTCAAATTCGGACGGATCATAGCACAAACGGAACGATTATAGGATTTAAGCATTTGCTGCAGTGGTTAAAGAAGCGGGTTGAAACCTTTGATAAATGCGGAGAGGAAAAGCCGGAAATGGTAGTTGGATAAGTTAAATTTGATACATGCGTTTCTTTTGAAAGATATAAAGAATTTTATTTTGACTTATGTATATGAATTGATATTTACTTAGCAAATACTGTATTTACCCATAGTCAGCCTTGGGCCATCTGAACATGCGTTCGGGGGAATGTCTTCCGGCCTTGCCGCCGAAAGGCCTCGTGTAATCGACAAATTTGGTCAGTAATCACTTCCCGAGATGAGAATAATATAATATGCACCATAATCAATCGTGATGACTTCTACTTTCAGATTACTAAACGGTTTCATTCACAAGATTTAAAGGAAACCCAATGCCTCTGTGAAGACTTGCTATGATCATTTCTGTCGTATTTCATATAGCCGACAGACTTTATTTCGAAGCCTCTCATTCAAGATGTCTCTCCTTGTCAACGGCCAATTCCCACCCATCAATCCAACAACATCAAGCAATGTGACAGCCGACGAGCGTATAACCGCCATCGATTTCGTCAATCGTGTCAACTACTTCTTCGAAGAATCTAACCATGACAAAATGGTCAACGCATTCATGCCGGATAGCATGGTATACCACTTCCACGGCACAATCAAAGGACGGGACGAGATCAGACTCTTCTTCGAGCAGAAATACGGCTATCTCATTCCAGGTGTCAGTCGGCATGCTACGAACCACATTGTCGATCGTGATGGGGTCGGTGGAGTCACGGTGCGGTATCATGAGCATCTGGTTCGCTATGTGTGGCCTGCAGATGCGGGAGAATTGAAGGGCGGATATTCTATGAAAAGTAATGCTGGGTTACCGGCAACGTGGCTTTATAGTGAGATGATTGATCGCTTGAAGATGACGGATGAGGGGTGGAAGGTCTCTGAACGATATCTTGGAGCAAGTGTATTTAATACGAAGCTCGATCCTCCCGAGCTAGTTGAGCCGAAAGTTTAGGAAGGGTAAGGGGAAGCTTTGGGATAACATAAACACACCTGAGAGGAGAAGAAAACATTCTCTTCAGTCGCTGGATGAGTGCAACTCAAACTGTTGAATACGCAAACGGAGTAATCCCTCAACCGCCCCACAAACCGTATCATACAATCAGAAACCATCCCACACTCCCACAGTCCCACAGTCCCACACCCCCTTAGTCCCGAACCCTCCTCCTCTTCTTCTAATTCCCGTTCCCACCCCCGTCAGCCCTCCTACCACAATCACGCAACACCCTAACCATCTGCGCCCACCCCTCATCGACACTCATCTCCGCCCAATCCCCCACCAAAACATGTGCTCTCTCCATAACAGCCGCCCCCTCATTTTCACACCGGATCCAAACATCCAAGCCACCCTTCGACCAGTTAACTTCCGTGCGGGCCGTGCAGCGGAGGACGGTGGACAGTGGGGCTGGGAGGCAACCGTTGTGCAGGATGGAGTAGAGGAAGGTGTTGGGCGCTGCGTGGAAGGCTGGGTATATCGATCCGGAGAAGCTGGGGGCGGAACTGTTCTGCTGTGTTGGTGTGGCGATAGGCCCTGGCTGCCCTGACGATCCTTTTGCGTTTATTGTGGTGGGTCGAGAGCTAGGAGGGAACTTTTCCTGGGAGAGACCCGTGGCAGTAGCAGTAACTTGAGGCTCGATGAGCACAGGGATACTGCGTGTCGGGTTCGGAGGTGGAGGTGGAGGTGAAGGTGGAGGTGGTGGAGGGACGCTGGGGTCAACACCAGGAAACACATCATTTGGCCCTAGTTCAACCATCAGTTTGCATTTCAATATCTATCTTACTTGTGAATTTCCCTTCCACGACGCTACCATGACTTACAGAAATGCCCCCAAAGCTGCTCCTCAGTCCTATACTGCTTCAAATCAAAATCCTCCTCATCATCTTCATACCGCGCAAGAGCAAGCTGCTTGCACACTTGGTCGAATGTCTCTGGCGGGATCCCAGCGTCGAGTGCCTTCCGCTGGATATTGTGGAGTTTGAGGATGTACTTTCGGTATGGTGGTTGACCGGGGAAGAACTTGTTTGGCCCTATACGTACACAGTCAGGATAAGATCCAAGGCTGTGGGAGGAAGATTATGTGTGTGGATTGAAGTAACTTACAAATAATCTTGAAAAGCCGCTTCTCTGCCTCGTACTGCTGTACCTCTGTTGAATCAAGCCGGTATTTTATACAAGTCTGTGTGACAATTCCTGCATATGCTGCATAAAAGGTTGTGAGATTCTCTGCGAGTTTTAGGTCGGACTGTGGGAGGGCCCGCTGGCGGATGTACTCAAGCTGAGATGCGTATGGAGCCATCGTAAAGAGAGGATGAATGCCGTAGCAATTTGAACACCCTATTCAATGTGTTACAATGTCCAGATTGAAGTTGAAGATGTGATGCGGAACGCCTGGATCTTCTGATAGGTGTCACGTGGATGGTGGATTGTCTCAATAGCAAAGTAATTGAAATTGAATATCGGAACGATTGTAAAACGTTCTACTGCCGCTGCAGTTCCCAAAAGATAACGCCTGACAAACACGAGGTATAATTTGAAAAACAATTGAGCCGAGGGAGAGGAGTGCAGCCATATCAAAGGAAGCCAGGCCAAAGCGGAAAGCACCACAGGGACTCACTTTGAATAAGCCTCAGCCCTTAGCTTATTGACCTTCTCAACCCTCTCAAATATCCCCATGGTATGTTCCCACACGGTCTTCCCAACCCCCTTCTCACGATATTCCTTTAATATCTTGCTAGTTGCAATATCATCATTCCAATTTACGATATATGCCCCACTTCCCACCTTCCCATCTACACCGTCCATAATCTCCATACCCTTTGGTGCTGGAACACCACTTGCCAAAAGCCCAGCAGGCTTCAGAGGTGCATATATACCACTCGTAGCAATAAAAAGCTGTCGCGCGCCCGTCTCTTCAACGCTGACCAGAAACGGCAATAACAACGGCTTGAAAAGGGCGAAGCCAGCGCGTGCCCAAACAGGTAATTCTCTCGTAATGCCTGTGTTGACGCCCGAGGGGTAGGAGTGGGCGAATGTGGTGCCTGGATCCCGGCCTGCGAATTCCTCGATCATGATGCTGTTCATGGTTATCGTGTGGGTGGCACAGCGAACACCAGAGTAGTTATTCTTTAGCTCTAGGTCATCGAAGTCGAGCTTCCCTTCGCCATGGCCTGCGCTGAGGACGCTTAGGGTTCGGGAGAAGTGAGGAGCTGTTATCGTTGCAGTTCTGAGGAGGGGCCGGAGGTTTTCGATGAAGCGCATGCGCGAGTAGAAGTTTAGGGTGAACTTACGATCAATACCTTCCGGTGACTCTATTGATATGTCAGTGAAGCTAGTTGTAAGAGGGTAAGAATGGCTCCTACCCAGTCTACCAGCTAAGGTCAAGTTTCCTTGCGTCTGAACAATCAAATTGATCTTAGACTCCTTCTTCTCAATCTCCTTGCACACCCTATCTACCTCTGATAATTCCGTCACATTTGCCTGCAAGAATTCAACGTTCCCATCCTTATTGATAGCTTTGCATTCCTCGATGATTCGTTCCGCGGCTGGGGCTGATCTGCCAACGATGTAGACTTTGGGGGAGATGGTGTTTTGAACAAATGCTTTCAAAGTAAATTCGCCAATGCCACTGGTTCCACCAACTATGCAGTATTAAGGTACGTTCCAGTGGGGGGAATGGGGATATGCTGACCGAATAAAGCTACAAGGCCAGGGCCAAGCTCGCGGAGCCTGCTATTGGAGGCGTGGACTACGTCGAGGGCAACCATTATGAGTAAAATTCTGGGATTTGAATTCTTGTTGGCTTGAATTTAGTCTCCTACATCTGCACCCTCGCACCGCAAGTGATGCATGGTACTAGAGAGATGATATATGTACTCCGTAGATCTTGGTGGAAGGAACGCGGTAGTTCGGCCGTGCTTAAGGCGGAGAAGAAGGTGCGCGTTGCGCGGAAGCGTCCGCCGGCGTTAGTATAAAGTGTATCTCCGAATTCAGAACGAAGGACCTCGTCTCACATCATCACAATTGCAGTCAAAATATATTTCTAGGATTTCACTTTGACTTGTTGTTATGTTCTATTTTTGCACCGAGGTCAAGAATGCGTCCTAAACATTGCTCATTGAGTTTGTTGGTGCAAATTCCCCACGTCCCTCCAAGGATATCACTACCACTATCTACCATTTACCATTTACAACTACGCTGTAAAGTTTAGCGTCCAACATATTTCTATTCATGATTTACAGTTTAGGACATAGAGAATCGTGGACCGTGGTCGCCAATGCCGGAAATGGTGGCCATCAGTCCGTTGCCCTGTCATAAAAATTCATACTGGTATCTGGCGCCTTTCATCCATCCATGCGGAGATGTTATATGTTTCTTTGTTGTTCCCGAGTAACTTTCTTGGGGTCCTTTTCCACCGGACCGGCGGTGGTGGAGTGTCCAGTTAGGCTTGAAGATATACGCGGCAGAATGGCTTTCCCTGTCCTCAAATAAGTTCGGGATTGTGGTGGCGATGAAGATATTCCACGCCTATAATATTTGTCATTCTTCGACTGCCTCACAAGGCTTGGCCAATCGTTGAACGCCTTCCCCCAGAAGGGATTGAACCGAGTTGGAGTTGAAGATCTCGTCAGCAAGAGGACTTGGCCCGTCCTCTTCAAATAAGTCAGGGGGGTCGTGGTGGTGAAGACATTCGTCGTCTGTGACATTCGTCGTGCCCTGTTGCGTCACAAGGCTCGGCCTATCTTTTGGTCACTCTTCCAATATTCTCAAGATGATAGCGTTGCTGACTCGCATATATTCCAGTGTGGAGATCCAGGATCTTACACGATCAAGATTCGTGTGATAGACACTCAACACTTTGCTGTTGCCTCGAATTACCATATTCAGTGATTCTACCGTCAAGCCGGAGTACACAGTAGCCATCTCTAGGGAAACACGGCCAAGTGAAAATATATCAGAGGACCTGCCATGAACGGTGTAGGCTGCCACTTAAGGGGAAGCGTACATTGGGGTCTTTCCCGGATAAGTTTCAGTTTGACTTCGCTCGTCGGGATCAAGAACTTGCGCAATGCCGAAATCACACAAGTATAGCTTATATGCTATGCTTTCAGAATATGCCTTGGCCGGTTTGTATCTCTTGAGGAGGATATTGGCCGGCTTAATGTCCATGTGCTTGACCCCACTCTCATGGACATACCTCAACGCGGAGATAAGGCATAGTGATCCCTTCGAAAGCACGTCTTGGTGAGGTCTTTTGTGGTTAGAGCCCCAAGAGGTTCCAGTCCAATTATTGTCAGCATCTGGCATAAACCGCCCTTCCTCCAAATATTCTGCGAGATCCATATCGGCCACAGGATAGAGAAGAGCTGCAAACCTTCCTTCCTTGCCGGTACGTTCCTATTAACTGGACAACATGAGCGTGCTTCAACTTTTGCAACGCTTGAGCCTCCCTCAACATATGTTTTTGGTTCGTCCGATACGTCAAATGCGTGAGCTTCCTCGCTAGCTTGATCCGTCGACATTTCACAATGTCTACCGAAGACGTCGATCCATGACCCGCTGAATCGCAAACCTCGAGCGGTACTTTCTCTCCCGGCCCAAAGTTAACATGCATCCCTCGTCCACACCAATCATATTCATCATCCGCCTCCTCTTTGTCCTCTAGCAAAGGTTGAAACGCAAGTCCTTTTGACTGAAGCAGCTTCCTAGACGACCTTCGAATCATGAATCCCTTGCCCTGCTTCGAATCGTTCTCGACGATTGAGGGTACAGTATGCCATGACTCGACATAGCTGGTAGCTGTGTAGTATGATTCGAGCGTTTGGAGCGAAGCAAACGATGCGGTTGAGAAGCTGCTAGAGTGTCTTATTTCTGTCGTCGTAGCAGGTTGGGTATGGTTGGGTCCATTGTATGATGTCAGTCTTCTTACGGCTGCATTCCCTACGTCTTTTAAAGGAGGGGTTGTGCTCGATTCCTGCTCATTGACTGTCTCCGAACGCTCGAATGACAATGATTGTATATTGGAAGTCCGATTGAGCTGGCCTGATTCGGAAAGGTTTGATGTCTCATCCCTGGATGGAAATATCGCCCGGACTTCCTCGAAAGTCACGTTCGACGACTGATTCTCGACATCAATAGGATGCAATTGATTTAGAAGCTCGTTTGAGCCTGTTATCAAGGTGGCCGTCAGGAACGCGAGTCGCGTGGAAATGGGTCAATTGATCTGCCAATGGGGGCTTCACACCGAATGTGGCCCCCAATGCTGGCATACCTACCTACACAACATATCATGCTACCATTCATCTTTGAAAGAGAAACTACTATAACGGATATCGAATATCTGCACGAGTCTGGGTTGAAAAGGTAAGTGCTTCTCCATGGTAGATTCGATGTGGTGGGGTACACCCAACCCCGCGATTATCAACTTTAGACCCCCCACGCCGTAGGTTTGTCTTCCGAGGAAAATAGACTTACGTCTTTATTAGGCTGGGGAATTGCTGTGTTTTATAGCCACTTCTTCAAAGGTCCATCCAATCCATTATCTGCGAGTAAATCCAACTACTCATAACAACAACGCGGAAATGGGAAGATCCACGTCAGCGCCGGGCTAAAGGAATTTATATAGATTTACTCGAGTACCAGTACTCCTTTTCCGCATTCACGATCTTTCTCCATAACCCAGCACACAGCAATTGGCCATAGCCTTTTGCCTCAAGGTGAGCCGAAATCCTGGCACTCTCCGCCGTCATAATCTTAAGGTTCATTTCTACTCTCAATCGAGCTTCGAATACACGTCGCTGGACATCGTCCATGACAGAAGCCTGGATACACTGTGAGTTTAGTTTACATGTCCAACGGCACCCCGTTAGATGGCACTCGTGATCCACGCTTATTAGCCAGTCAGAAATGATGTTTTACCTTCCAACCTATGTGTTAGTGGTGCCAACAAGCAAGCTAGTCACGTGATTCATTGCCAGAAAAGCACAATAAAACTTTGACGGATGGCAGTCCGAGTGGGCTATGGATTTGCTCAATTGAGCATCTAAATTGATTTTAATGGTATTTATGGCTATCTGGCCCTTTGATCTTGCCATTCCAGGAATCATGCCGAGTGGCGGGCAACGCAGCTTGGCATGCACCTTCCTAATCGTTATCTCTTGCAACATCTTCTTAATCTTTTCAAGATACTATGGAAAACATGACACAAAAAAACAAGGCTGTATGCAGACAGACAGGCTGCGTGCACAGGGATTTGCCTTATCAGTACATTACTATATATCGGCAGATGTCTCAACGAGGGGTAATTCTCAATTGACTTCTGCTGTACAGTCTTAGAAGCAAACACAAATAATTTATATATCTGTGGATAGAACTGACAGGTCCTTACTATCATTAGACATCCTCACATTCGTACTGTTGTGTTGCGCTTACAATGGCTTCGACTTTTGACTCCTCGCATCCGGTCCCAATCATAGCGACACAGGAAGGCATTGTACAGCAAGCATATGCCCATACATATGATGAAAAGCTTGATTTGGACCTGAAGACTCCAATTGACGAGAAGAATCAGTCGTCTTCTGATGTTGAGGTCGTTGTGGTAGATGGAGATATCATTCGGGAGTCTGGTATGTCTTTGATTAGTAGTACTATTCTTTTCACACTTATGTCTCTTCATCCTGCTGTTATTTCAAGATTCCACTTGCTGCATCCCAAGGCAACACTGAATTGGATCAATTGTGCGTCCTCACCTTGGAATTTGCATTTGTCGCTGGACAGGGTGGAAGACGGTTCGAGACGCTAACAACCATTCCAGACTACACGCCAGAGCAGTACAGAAAGCTCCTGAGGAAAATAGATCGATATCTCCTACCATTGATGTGCATGACGGTTCTCATTCACGCGTTACCCCGCTGACGACGACCTAGGTGGATCTGCTACGGCATTCAGCAAACTGATAAGATATCTCTTGGGACGCAAGCGCTTTTTGGTCTTCGCGAGGATACTCATCTCAAGGGCCAGCAGTACCAATGGCTTACTTCTATGTACGTATACAATCTGCCGTCAAGGAATAATAAACCGAGATCTACCGTCGCTGATACTCTTTCCCATTAGCTTTTACATCATGTATATGTGTGGGGAATTTCCATCAAACTTCCTTCTTCAAAGATGGGCGCTAGGGAGAACATTGAGCATTTATATGCTATGCTGGGGTACAATGCTTCTCACATCCTGCTTGAAACCTGTACGATACTGACACTGAACAGGAGTCTGCATAATAACAATCAGCTCAGCCCAGAACTGGTCCCATCTCATGGCCATCCGTGCCCTGCAAGGATTCTTCGAATGCACGATCTCTCCTGGCTTCCTCCTAATCATCGGCAATTGGTATCGAACAGAGGAGCATGCAGCTCGCGCACTGTTTTGGCAATCTGCCAACGCTGGCTTTGGCATAATTGCGGATTTGGTCAACTATGGAATTGGCCAGCGTGCTGAGGAACATGGTGGTCTAGAACCATGGAGAGGGGTGTCTCTATTCTTGGGGTCGTTGACACTTGTTGCGGCTCTAGTTTGTTTTGCCTTGCTTGGAAGCCCGAGGGAAGTTAGGTGGCTGAGTAAGGAGGAAAAACGAATGGCGTGAGTGAACCTTGACACTGTGTTGGTTTAGCAGTTGAATTAACTATCATTTTTGCATAGTGCTGCCCGTATTGTAAGAAACAAAGCTGGTAGAGATGTCACCGGAAGAAAGTGGTCGTGGCCGCAGGTTTCCGAGGCATTTCGAGATCCCCAATTATACTTCTGCATGGTTAATGCTTTCTTGTCATCTGTTCCGAATGGGTGCGTCACTTCCATTCATAAATAGAAAGGTCAGACTAATGCCTCAGTAGCGGATTGACATCATTCGGATCACTCATGTACAAGTCTTTCGGCTTCACAGAATTGCAGGTTCTACTTATCGGCATCCCACGCTCAGGTTCGTTATCCCCCTGCAAATACTCCTTATGCTTGCATGTTAAGTATGTATATTCATTGTCTACAGTCGTCTCTCTCATCATCTTCCTGATAGTCGGTATCTATACTCGTCGAGTAAAGCAGCGTCGATTATACGTTATGGCTCTTGCCACCCTTCCTGCATTTGCTGGGATGCTGGGCATGGCTCTTCTACCAAACACCCCTCATTACAAGTGGTCCAAATGGTTCCTATACCTCATTACCGTACCCTACGTGCTATCGCTCTTCCTAGCTTGGACTCTCATACCATCCAACGTCGCCGGGCGGACTAAGAAGACTGTCATCTCATCCGCCACATTTGTCGGCTACGTAAGTACCCCACCATATTCTTCTCAAAAGCATCTTCTCAAAACTAACATCCCCAGTGCGTAGGCAACATAGCAGGAAGCCAAATCTTCAAGACCAAAGACGCTCCCCAATACATCCCCGGAACTATTGGCTGCGCCATTTGCCTCGGTGCCGAATTCGTTCTTATTGCTGTATGGCGTCTGTATTATATGTGGCAGAATAAGAGACGAGACCGCATGGCTGCTGAGAGTGGGGTTGGCAAGGAAGAGCAGGAGCGCTTGGGGAGGGAAATGGGCGAGAGGGATGTTACGGATCTGCTGAATCCTTATTTTCGCTATACCATGTAGAGAACTCTGCAGTAGAGGGAGAGTGCGATGGCATGTATAATTTACTGTCCCTTACTGAGCTGGTTCTGTCAATTGTAGCCAGGTTAAGGTTCATTTGGGCAATAAGCGTTTGTGGTGTAGTGGAAGGGATGTTTCCTGACTTCTCAACAATCAATTGTCCATTCATCCATGCAATTGACACTGGTACGTACCTGAGATGTTAGTTCAGTCTTCTACTTGAGTAGTATCCAAAATAAAACGTCGGTACATCTGTTTGTATCATTCGTGTTTCCTAGGTAGCTTCGCCTGATGTCACAGAACGATTGCCCATGCGACACGCAATTTCCATTCCCATTGATCGTGCTCCTCCCTAACATTATCACCAATCGGCTCTTGTTGAATCTTCTTTCTAGGTACTGTGTTGGCTAAAACAGTAACTCCGAACGCATCGGGCCGTTCGCGGCATCTCACGAGTCACGTTACCACGCGACGTCTATGGACATCAGGCGTTGTCGTAACTATGTAATATATCGCAGGGTCTTTCCTACATTGCTCTTGCACATATATATCCGACTGCTAGACCTATTCGGATAAAAAAGAAGCCACACGCATGACAGAAGTTACATAATTCCATCTCAATGGCTAGTAGTGTACGAGACTCAACCGAATTGGAACCCCCCAAAACCAATGGAGATGCTCTGACATCCCGTCGCACAAGGACGAAACAAGTAGTGTGCTCAGCTTGTAGGCAGTCTAAGGTACATTGTTATCCATATCCAATCACTCACGTGGGGATATGAGGCTGATATGAGAAGGTTCGTTGCGTGAGCACCGGCCCGGAGGACTGCTCAAGATGCTCCCGGCTAGGCCTAGACTGTAAAAGGGATACGACCTATAAGAGACAAAGCAAGAGTCGGTAATTATATGCTCTACACGCAGTGCGATTACCATACTTACATTGAGAGTAGAAAAATTGCTGATCTTGAGAAGCAAGTACAGCTTCTCGCATCCGCGTTTAGTGGATCTGGATCTCAACCTGGAGATAGGCGACGATCGACGCAAAACCCAAGGCCTTCAAACCCCCAGGCTCTTCAAAACGATATTGCTTCAAATTCCCGAGAGAGCAATTCAGGTTCCACTGGTACTTTAAATAATGCTACTGGATCAGTCAATCTCAACTCCTGGCTTAGCCCCCAACCCCACATTACCGCGAACGGACCGAGCTTCACCCCGGATTCTCAAAGCTTTCTCAACAGCCCGGAAGAAACCTCATCTACTTATAGTAGTCCTAGGCCACCCGCCGTATCATCCAGATCGATCAAGACGGTCCAGTTGAATGCTGCACAGATTGATAATCTGTTCCAGATGTAAGCTTACATACTATTTGATATACCGACTAGCGTCTAATCCCCCTAGCTTCTTCGAACATTACCATCCATCGCTCCCTTTCCTAGACCCATCAAAGTCTCCAGATGAATATTACAGCTCTGGAGAGCATCTATTTTGGGCCATAGTTGGACTTGCCTCTCGTCGCTACGATGAAGACTTCATGCTGTTTGCCGTGCTGTCCGAATGGGTGCCAAAGCTTGTCTGGTCCGCGATCTCCACGCCACCATATAGCCTATCCACAGTTCAATCTATTATTCTCATATCAGCGTGGCCTTTCCCAGTAGATTCTACATACAAAGCCGCGTTGGTTACCTTGAGCTCTATTGCAATCAGCACTGCCATGCAGCTTGGGCTTCATCGACCCATGAACGCAACAGACTTCTTACGTTCGTTCGCCCCAAAACCAAGTCACTCTAAATGAGATTTCTATATAGTAGAACGTTCGCTAATTTTTATACAGAAACAAAAGCCACCATCAGTGAAAGGGATTGTAAAATGAGAACAGCGACTTGGGCGGCCGCCAACATCTTGTCACAAAGGTACCTAAACCCTATAGCGTGTGCAGCGTTCATCCAACTTGATACTAAACCAACAACAGTCTAACTTCTACATGGGGCCTCTTACCCATAACCCCATTCGACAAAACGATCGATTTTGCATGCCAGACTGGTAATATATACACAGTACCAGACGATCTCCGCTGCAAATTAATACTCCAGCGATACTGCAATCGAGTCACCCAAGTAATTTACGGTGATCTTCGCGAGCCCCAAGGTGATAGCAACGCGGGTGATCGACCTAGTTTCGCATTAACATGGGAAAGTAACCTCAACGCCCTGAACTACGAGCTCGACGAGATAGAACAACAACATTCCCATATGTTCTCAAGTAACGCCTTCCCTACCCCATTTTCCGTTTTTATAACCTCTCATTCTAACAACTGGTTGAAGTGTACGACCGTATATACGTCTCCGCTGCGCGTCTCTACATGCACTCCATGTATTTCTTCGACTCCTCCCCCACACCAACACGCAAAACCGGCATCCTCCGCGCCTACGCCTCCGCCTTCTCCTTCACCACTCTCATAACCTCACTCGACAGCACCCACAAGCTCTTCTCCTACATGTGCGCGTACCACATCCGCATGTTCCTCGTCGCGACTTGCATCCTTCTAAAAGTGCTAAGGTCGAGTTATAGACATGATATCGATTTCGAGGCAGGGAAGAAGCTGTGTAACGATGCGACGGTGGCCGCGAGTAAGGTTGCGGTGGGCAGTGGGGACTCGACGGGCAAGCTGGCGAAGATGGTCGCGCAGGTTTGGCATAGTGGGGATACGGACGTGCTGGAGGAGCCGCCGGAGTTGTTGGTTAAGTCGAGGTTGGGTGCTAGGTCAGTTTTAGGTTTTCCCAGGTCTGTTTTATCTCAGGTTTGCTGATGCGTGGCAGTATTATTTATGATTTTATCTGGATGTGGCGACAGGAGTTTGGGGGTGTGCCGGAAGCGTATCCTTCCTCGAGATGTAAGTCTAGATTTCTCTTACTAGAAAACCAGTCGCTGATCTGCCAAGCCAAACCTAGCAGCCCACCACCTGAAACCATGATGTTCCAGCCTCTTGACGTCTTCCAAGATGCGTCTTTCGTGGATTTAGATTTTCTCAATGATCCCAACTGGATGGAGGGTCTCGAAGAGCCTACGACGTGATCCGCACTGTCGTGATAAATGATTCGCTTATTGGAGTGGAAATCAGAATCGGCAATAGAGGGATAGTCAGACTTACTTCGCATAGGGAAAATGTAAAACATGCAATTATTTCCTCTTTTCAAATAAGAAGCTTACTTCGAGAATGAAACCATAACTCTAGTGCATAAAGTAGGTTATATCAGACGCAGGAAGACCTGCTATTTGTCCAGCCCTGAATTCTATTACTTGATATATAATTTTACATCATTCTTCTATTTATACATCCTAGTAAATAAACCTTTGGCGCTTCTATTTTTTTACCTCCGTCCTTCCTCTAGTAAATGGTTGAAACTATTGCTAGTTTTACAACTGATTCGATCCGTATTTAAATCCTAATTAATAGCAAAGAAAATGTTTACTTCTAATAAGTAGTCAACTACAATAAAATCCTGTTTAAGTCGTTCGTTCTATTCAATTTTTTCTAAATTGCTAATGAAAAGGCGGGGGTGGGGGCTAGAATTTTAAGAATTTTATATTCAAAACGATCTCATATATAAAACTTGATTAGGACAGCTTTCTTCCCTAAAATATTTGCTTCACCCGACTTTGAGCTAATGTATAGTAGAAACCAGCCAAGCATTATACCCTACCTCCTCTGTATGCCTCGACTTCCGATTGCGATCCATACGACCTAGACGAACCATATCGTCCAGTTGAGTCGACCTCCATTTGAGATCCATACGATGTAGACGAACCATAGCGTCCCGTTGAATCGACTTCCATCAAAGATGGATAGCGTTGAACCTTACAACAGCCTAATCGTTATCATTATTCTACAACATCGGTCTAAGCAAAAGAGACCCAGTCCTGATCCTGGATGCGGCCATCTGCTACTGTAAGCGCGCGCGCAGCTACCGAGGCCTACTTAGGTCAACGGGTAGGCTAGGAAGCTAGATACCAAAACAACCGACCCGAGCGCCTATAGTTCTACCAAAAACAATATTAATCTCTCAGGCCCATCATTATCAAATCGCTACTCAACCCTCGGAATGGCATCCCATATCACTGATGATGATGTGAAAAAGGCTCTGTCGCTCATTGAAAGCGCCAGGATGCCTCACCCTTCTGGCCCGCTCCTTTCATCCTTCATCACCGAAGCCCTTAGCCCTCGACTGGCGGCTTAGTATGTATTGAAGGCATGTTAGTCTAGTCATAGTCAATAGATAGACCTTCTTCCTATTGTGTCTGATTGGAGCTATCTCATCGAAGCCAGTACGTCTCTTAATTTATACCCTTTTCTTTTCTTTTCATGATGGCTGAAAAATATCAAGTTTCAAAATATGGCCGTCCTCCAGCAGTTCCTGATGCAGCCACTCAGGCTGCCATCACTAAACGTGATGGGGGAAAGTGCTGTATTACCGGCAAAGCTGGTCATTTTATGGATCCGCTGGTTGTTGTCCCAATTCTCCCTGTTCCGTCTCGCTGGTTCGAAGACAAGGTATGTTTAGTGATCGAAGACGACCATGACGCGACGAGAAGCTGATACTTGTCATTGAAAGGCCCGAATCTTCAACATGCTCGGTGCTTTTTTTACCCCTCTTATCGCGACTGGTGGCTTGCTTATGCTCAAATGCCTGAGGATATGAGCCCATATCATAATCACTGGCTTGTCCGCAAATCAGCAGCCAACGCCTTCGCAGAAGGACTTGTGAAGTTAGACAGGTTGCAGCCGTCAATGGTCGAAGTGAGTTTACGACTGATACACCACATATACACTTCCATTTATTTATCCCCTTCTATTTTACTAATACCATGGAATAGTATGAGGTTAAACCTATCTTTATTGGAACGGAAGATACAATTGATCTTAACGGTTCTTATCCGTTGCTAGGTGATCATTCTCGACTCGGTATCGAGAAAGTAGATCCACGCTTTATCGGGACTCATGCTCGACTCTGCCCGAGCATCCGTTGGCTCGGCATCAAAAAGCAGATTTCCCGGAACACGAAAGTTCACTCATCAACATCAACAGACCTCGAAAACCAATCAACAGCAGGCCCCCAGACCGACCAAAGAAGCCCTTTTTCTTTTCTCGGCCTACTGAAAGCTGCGTTTCTCGCAGTCTGGCTCATGGTCCCAGATGGAGTGCGGATTGTCACCTACAAGATGTTGCAAAAGGTAGGACATCGCCTTTACGGGAAACCTAACGCCTACGAGCTCGTCCAGAGACTCCCTTTTGGGCTCTACCTTAAATATTCAGGAGATCCAGACGCATTTCGCAACGAGTTCAACGCCCTAAAATTGGTACGCCAGTATAGTTCGGTCCCGGTACCTCGGCCTCTTGACTTGGTCATTGCACCAACAAAATCAGATTATCCATTTTATTCCCCTGATATATATCTTGTCACGTCCCGCGTTCCGGGCATACCTATAGCACGCTGCCAGGACATGCTATCTGACGAAGATGGCGCCGAAATCGTTGCTCAGATGCAAGTTTATCTGGCCCAAATACGAGCCATCCCCAAAGTCGTCAGCCCAGAATATGCCATATGCGACACTTTGGGTGGGGCTTGTAGAGACCCTCGCATCAAAGGTGCAAATCCAGTTGGGCCGTTCTTGGACGAGGCGGCTTTTAGTCAAGTTCTGCGAAACTCGGACGAGCCGAGCCGCAGGGGCCATGAGATCGTATTCACGCATGGGGATCTGAATTCCTGGAATATCTTGGTTGATCGAGTTGTCCGGCCGGATGGGACACGGGGCTGGACGGTGACGGGGATTGTAGACTGGGAGACTTCCGGGTATTACCCAGAATACTGGGACTATACTAAGGCGTTGTTTGAGGGGTTTAGGTATACTGAACGGTGGCGTGACTTTATGCACGATATCTTCAGGGCTTTTGGGGATCTTTCAAAGGAGTTTGAGGTTGAGAAGAGGAGCTGGGAAGAAGGTGATTATATATGAGTATCCTGCGTCGGTAGCCTAAACCCCTGATTGAAAAAGACATGCTTGTCCTCAAGTTCGAATCTGGAGTCTAATCGTTATATTTTCCAAAAGCTGATCCACGTCCCGCTGACACTAACTACTCCTTATCATTCGGCGTCGAATTTACTACATCGCCGATCCTTCACGACTCATATATAACATCTAGAATTACTGCACATGTCATTCTAGATGTGCATTCCAAGTTCATCTAAAATCGAGTTGAAGATATTGTGAAATATTTGGTCTACCACGTGATACATGTTGGAATTCTTTCTTTTGAATCACGTGTTGTTTAATCTGATCTTAGCTTGGCATGGTTTTAGTCAGCGGTTTTCTTTATACGAACCGCGCGCGGTTCAAAGGCTCCGGTGCTTGTTCATCTTCAACACAGCCTAATATATGCGCAGATAAACACTTTCCGAATCGCTAATTCCTAGGGACTCCATACTATCCCTCTCAAAATACTCAACAATGGATGTTCCCTTGATCACTATCTCTCCTTCCGCACCCCACACGCATACGGTTGTGTTCTTACATGGACGCGGAGACACTGCCAAAAACTTTGCTTCATCTCTGCAATACTCAACAGACTCACACAACCGCACGCTACCGGAAATATTCCCTTCCTTTCGCTGGGTATTCCCACAGGCAGAGATACGGCAGTGTGTGGCCTTCCCTGGCGACAAAATCTCGCAGTGGTTCGATATCTGGAACGTGAGCAACTTCTCCGACCATGAGGAGCTACAAGCTACTGGTCTAAAAGAAAGCGTAACCAATATAAGACGCATCCTTCCAAGTGAGGCTACCGTCTTAGGCGGTCAATGGGACCATCTCGTGCTTGCTGGCATCAGCCAAGGCGCTGCGACTAGCGTGCATACGTTACTGAATTTGAGTCTGCCGCCGCTGGTAGACGGTCAGCAGGTGTCACGTAGGCTGGGCGCCTTCCTTGGTTTTTCGTGCAGGATGCCATTCCCTGGGAGATCGCTCGTCGAGACGAGGAAAGTGCTTGCCTTGGAGGGCGTCACGGCTGATGATGAGGTTATACGCAACACCCCTGTGTTGCTTGAACATTGCATCGATGACCCCCTTGTTCTGGTGGGAAACGGCCGCGTCTTACGAGACACGCTGCGGGGATTTGGCGCGCAAGTAATGTGGAAGGAATATCCCAACGGAGGACACTGGTTTAACTCGCCGGTGGGAATAGATGATGCTGCGGAGTTTCTGAACAACTATGTTATTAAGAAAGTAGGTGCTGGGACAAGTCTACCAAGCGAGACCCACGCATTGCCCGAATCGATGGACTTATCCTAGGAAAGTTCTAGAATTGTATTACGTTCTTTTATTTCGTAGGCTTAGTCTAGCATCTAAAGGCTAGGCTATAAGGAAGATGAATGTTTTCAAACGCTAAATTGTTATCCTTCGAATTCATCAATCCTGCAATTTGACTTTTGGGGACACAAAAGACAACCGCGTGTCTTAGTGGAGAGGGGGCCACCAATATTGGGGATCGGATACTCCAATGCTAAGAGCAAGGCCACCGCTGGTGGCTCTCCGCCTCCGCTTACAATATGCAACGCATTTCTGAGTCCAACACGGTCAGAATCGTCTATTCGAGACAATAGATTCTGTCCAATTTCCTCTTTACCGCATCTGAGAGCATCATGAAGTGGCGAGTCGCTGCAGACACCCCTCGTCCATATTTAAGCGCCATGGGAAATAAGCTCTTCGACCACGAGACCATGGCTATTCCAACTGGCTAGATAGAGCGTAGTACGCTTATTATGGTTCTCTCTAACAATATCGATACCCTTGAGAGTCGATAAAGCCTAGACGGATTTCAAATGTCCGTACCCAGCCGCGCGTTGGAGAAGTCCTTGTTCCTTCACGGCATCAGGTGCTCTCTGTTCCAACAAAAGCTCAATAGCTTCCTTGAATCCATTCCAAGCAGTCCAGTCCATTGCATTGCAGTCATATTATACTTGGTTCTGTCGAGAATGTCTTTTTTCCATGTCTCAGCGGCTCCTTGCTCGAGTTCTTCGTTTTCGGATATAACGGAAGCACCTTCCGCCACAAATGCTTTCAATTTGCGAGCTTGCATGAGGAGCTTGACAGTTACCGAAGTGTTTAGACTCGACAGCAGCAAATCAAGGAAGAGTTTGATGAATTCTGTAAAGAAACCATTGGAGCGCCATGGGTGAGCAAGACTTCAACGATGCCAGCGTGCCCAAGCTTGCTTGCCTCCACAAGTGCGTTGTAGTCTTCTTCATTTACAACTGAGATATTAGGTTGCTCCTTCAGAAAAAGTCACAGTATGCTCACAAATCCAAGTTGCGAAGCGTCAGTAACGATATTTACGGATTCTACATCGCCCTCAGTAGAGTCGAGATTGAACTCATACTTAAGTAGCAGTGTGGCTACTTCTGATTGTCCGTTGCGAACCGCCTCGCAAAGTATCACAGAGCCCAGCATATCCCTGGTCTCCTTGATCTTGGGCCACTAGTTGACCAAGTTCTGAAGAACACTGATGTTTCCAGTTCTCACACATGATACCCAAGGTAGCTTAAAATGCCTCATCTGATACTTCCAATGGCCAACAACGCTCTACGATTGCCCTCTTTACGCTCTATCGCGAACGTGACGCTGTTATGCAAGGACTTGAATCACTTGCCGCGCTCGCGCTGGTGCAAATACCAACGGAAGATGATCAGCGAGCATGGCATACCGGTCGCGTTAGTGCCATGAACAGTCGCATCCCGTTAGCCATAAACCACCATAGGTTTGCGACGGTCAAACCCCGTAATCTTTTCGCATTGTATTTTGCCCATATTCTTGATGCGCGGCTGGAACTCTTCCTCAGCCCCACCCTCTTCAATTCGCATTCCAACTTGGTTGTATTCCTCTTGGAGGATCAATTCGTCAGCCATTTTGAATTTTGCATTGACGTGCAAGACTTGTCCAAGAACTTGAAGGATATGGTGATGGGGAGGAAGGAAATATATTCCATTATTCGGTCTTTACGGCCGAACTTGCCCTCTATCCAATACCCTTTGCAGGTTGTGCATTGGAGTGCAGCCGAGTACAACTTCCTGTCAACAAAGTAACTATATAGCGGCTCACATGCTTCTCTCTCTAGTGAGCTGCGCCTGAGCCCTCATGCATATAGCCACTCTGGTACAGAATGGCTCAGATGGACTGTCTTGCAGCCCGTAGTAAAGCTGAAAACTCCAATGGGACTTGCACCCCAAGAGCCGTAGGATACATAGAGAGGATGTTTGAGGCCATGTTGTAATCCACGATATATTAAATGGATACCCTGGCCCGGCAGGGTATTTGTTGGGAGCCTCGCTGACTGACAATCGAGAAGTAGTGCTACGATTGGTCATTGTCGACAATTCTATCAACTACCGCGTGTACCGCATATATCTGCAGCGCCCAGATCATATGATGCTTTTGGATCATGAGTTCGAGAGCCGCGTGCGCGTGCCACCATGTTCTCATATACAGTCTGCCGTGTGCCCCAGAGGCCGACTGTTTGAACCCCAATACTACCTTGGATGAAGGGGAATGAGGAACGGTAAACCTGGTGGTTTTCGTCAGGTAACTCTTATCTCTTTCTTATCCTCAACATGAAGAACAGAGAAAGCTTTCGTGACTAAACTTCTAGCTGACCTGAAGCGTGCAGATTTGTGAAACAGGTTATCGATCATGGCTTTAAGGTTAACTGGCTAGCGCGGCTGACTAATCACTCACAATCCTGCCCTATCTCCTCTCCTCTCCTGGCTGGACATGTAAGAAACTGCACCACCATATTGCAATATATGAAGCTTTATGAAGGTACTTGGTAGTATCTACGATATTCTCTATACAATATATTAAGGTTGTCGAGCCTGAACTTGTCTAAACTAACATGAAGCTTACGTGCAGATTAGCTAATATATGTCCTCTTACATCAGCCTCGTGCTACCCTCCCAGTTTCCTTCTCACCTTACCCCTCTCTCTTCCCCTTCACCTTCAACTGCTACAGCTACACTTCTTTTCTTTTGATATTCTAGCACAAATTAGAAGCCTACCAGAAAGCCGCCAACATCACCATAGAGCTGTTTTTGGCCTCAGATAACGCCAACAATATGTCCGACTTCGAACGAAAGATGCGCCACGAGCGCAAGTTCCACGACATCGAGTCTAACTTACCCAAGATCAGAGCCGACCCTGCCTCCGACAAACGTCCAACCCTCACCAACGATCTCTTCTCACACCTCGGGCACTGGAACCCCTTCCCCCAGCAAATAACCGCGAACGACACCGTATGGCTGCTCGACAACACCGCGTATCGAAGCCCCAAGACCAACGAGTGGCAGGCGGAGTTTGTGGCTGCTGTCTTTGACCAAAACTCGGGCGTGGAAATAAGTACTGTCGTGGCAGATGTGGCGGAGAAAATAGGGATCGGAAAAGGGGATGCGGCGGAGGCTACGATCCAGGAACGGTTGATGCCATTTGTGCAGAGCGTACTGCCGGGAAGAGTTGTCAATGCAGAGTTTGCGCAGAAGGAAGTGCTGAAATTGGGACCGGGCGGGCGGAATGGCATCAGTAGCGATATCAAATCTATTCCGGGGTTTGTTAGTGGAAGCGTTGTCTCGACAGTGGCAAGAGTACCGCAGGGCGCGAATGGAATATTGGAGGGGAAGACATTCTTTGCAGAGCCAGAAGGATGGGGTCTTATATCTGGTAAGGCTGGTCCTTCACATTCAACGTCATTCAGCTAATCAGGTAAAGATATCGACGATACTATTAAGGTTACTCAAACTAGCGACCCTATTGGTATTCTACGCTCCACATTTGTTTCCGAAGCGACCCCTGTACAGGGTATGCCAGAACTCTACACCTATATCCAAAGCCTCATCACAAAAACTGCCCCATTCTTCTACCTCTCCGCCTCGCCCTACAACCTATACTACTTCCTCAGCCAATTCCGTCAAAAGTTCTACCCTCAAGGAACCATGATCCTACGAGATGCCAGCTGGATGAATTTGTCCGGTTTACTCACGAATCTCACACTTGGCACCCAAGAATACAAAGTCGATCGGATGGTCAAGATCAATTCATGGGTCCCACGTCGCAGAATGATTTGCATTGGAGACTCCACTCAATCCGACCCTGAAGCCTACGGAGAAATGTAAGTCTTTTCTTTGTTTTATCCTCGGACACTAATTGCGATTCGCGTTAGATTCCACAAATTCCCAGGCTGGGTACACTTGATTCTCATCCGCAAAGTCACAGACATCGCAGCTATTGGTCTTGAAGAGAAGAACGAGCCGAAACGGTTCGAGAAAGCCTTTGATGGTGTTCCAAATAGCGTCTGGCACGTTTTTGAGAGTCCTGAAGAGTGTTATAAGATCATCAGTGATGTCATAGGGAATAACAGCTAAGTCGGGGTATGATACCCAAATTGCACAGTCAACGCTGTGCTGAATGAATCAAGCTATTCGTCTCACTCAATCTGAAATGTAATGTCTTTCATGCCGAGTTAGGCTAAAACACCGGCAAGTGGGGGCTGGCTAGTAGAGCTTACTTCTCGTTTTCGACAGGAGGACGTAGAAAACAATAGCTAGCTGTTAGCTATCCCATGCTCCTGTGGTTTAATTATCACTTCTACCGTACCCAAAACACCTAAATTTTTCTACTAAATGTTTTCCTCACTCCTATTGCGCAACATGAAGTAATATCAAAGGGATTCATCTCTATATTGAGGCCGAAGTACCACTCTAAGGTTTAAGCAAAATCTCCAGTTTTCCAAGTCCAGTGCGTCAACTATCTTCTTTTGTCACGGGACTACTCGCCCCAAATATTTTTCTCTGATTCATAATCGTAGTTGCCATCCACGCCGGAGTCGATTAACAAGGACTGCAAAGTGGCAACAGGAACACTTTGGTAGAAGTCCCATGGAAACTCGCCCACCTCTTCAAGAACATACTTTGCCATTTCATCACCCAACGTGACAGTGCTTGGGATTACATCTCCCGATCTGGCCAGCTTGCGGCTGTCCTCGGTGTGCTTGTAGGGGTGCTTGAGTCCAGAGGGAAAATCTCAGTCGGATGTCCAAGTCCATTGACAGCGACCCCTAAGCAAGAATGTCTCCAGCTTCAATGTCTGGTTCCTGCTTAGTTCCCACAATGTGAGGAAGAAATCTGGCCACTGGTTGCCGCGAAATACACATCTGTTTAGGCCGAAGTTCTTGAGGGTGTTGCTGTTTCTCTCGATCATGTTGAGCAAAGACTTGGCATCGATCAAGAGCTCGGTCAAGTAAAGCGTGTGCAAATGTGGCCAGACTTTCCTGCCAAGGTATTCTTCCAGCGAAGAGCTGTTCCATGCTAACTATTCAATGTTCGCCCGCGCTAGATGAGATCGGTCTCTTGCGTTTTCTTGGGTTGGGTACTCGAAAGTCAATCGAATAGCGCGTAGCTCTTGTGCGCCTTCGAAAACGCGTGCCAGAAGCCCTTGTTTGACAACCGCTTTCGGATCGGGAGTTTCGTCGGGACTTAGAGTCCTTAACTTGGCAGTTTCCTTCCATGGAGCGGCATCATCCTCATGGTTGATCTTGAGATTGACAGTCTCGAGCCGACTGAACGTGTAAGCAACGTGGGTAACGCTTTCGGAACACAGAGATTAAGCATTGCTAAAGGAAGGGATTAGATCGTCTGATCGTCACCTCCTTGCATTCCTTCTGAAAAATACTAAAGAAAGGAATGCACACCTTGATCCCGTGAAACAGCCTTATTCTTTTGGTTTTGTGTGCTGGAGATGCTTAGATATTATCAAGCGTCTATGTAGTAGATTCTTATTATTATTATTTCGAAAAGAAGCGAGCTGGGTAGAATACGTACTCCATGTCACCCCTGTCCCTCCTAAGCTAATGCTCAAACACCCGGGTTGTGCCGCCCCTTGAAATCCTTCCAGAACACGTTCTTAAGCACAGCCTTGGTGATAAGGATAGGTGATACACATGGCCCAAATAAATCATTCCTTCCTGTTTTGCGACAATTCGTAGTAACTATCCTCGGAGAGGCTGAGGGTTTATTGCACATTTTTGATCACGATTTATTCCCTCGAGAGTCTTAAAATAGTCATGAGTATGAGTAAGTTTCTAGAATGTCCCCCCCCCCCCTTCCCCCCCCTTCATCGTGACTCCGCCGCTTGAAGGAAATTGATTCGTGAGGCCTCTAGAGTATCACTTCCAAGGCTACACCGCCTATTAGTGAGAGTCTGTTTAGCTGAAGAGAAGACCTTACAAGACTGTCAAAACACCCTTACGCCTTGCCTCATCCTTACAAATCAGGGCTGTCGTCCTCAACAATCTCTTCTGGTGGTATGATCCCTCCAAACTCTTCGATATACTCGGTAGAGACAGAACGAATTCCTCTTGCCAATCCCTGTAGTCTGTTCCACAAACTGGTTCTTCGTTCCACCGCCTCCCTCATTGCGTCAAGGTTCTCTGACTTAACCCTTCTAACCGTTTTGAATTTGTCTAAGTACAAAGTAACCTCTGTCCCTTTGATTAGCTCCTTCGCCTTCTCAGCCTCCTGTCTCCTTGCCATCCCAGCAATGATGGACTTAGTAATCGCCTTGTCAAACTTAGCGTCATCAGAACCGCTAGTCTTTAATTTGGTGCGATATTCGATAAGATTCTGGGAGGGCACCCATGCCATTGGATTGTCAAGGTCTTCTGCATCAAAGATAAACCATTGATCAATTAACGTCCTGAGTAAAGACGTTAAGATCGCCCCTGACATGTTTTCTGAACCGCTGATTGTCTTTGGAATATCGCAAAGATCTTTATATAACACGGTTATTAGAAGAGGATAGTGCCCCTTCTTAACCATGCCTATAATGTCTGTATGAAAGAGGCTATTCCGGACGGCATATTGATGGATACACTCCAACATTTCCTTCAGCTGGAAGCTTATTCCATCACACGCCTGGGATATTGCCATATGAGTCGGACATTGTGTATGGGTATTTCCACCTGTCAAGACCTTTTCGTATGCTTCCTTTTCATTTTGAAGGGTAGCATCGATGTCGGTCCAGTATTTGTTGACCAAAGCCTTCCATCCCGAAACCTCTCTCTTGATAGCGTCAGCTTTCATCCTAGTGCAAATATCGCCAAGAATGTCTCCATATCTGGCATAGAATCCGAATTTCTGTAGGCGTAGTAAAGCCTCCTGGAGCTCATCGGCGTTTTCCGTCTTGGTGTACGCTAAAGCTTTGATGTACTGCACAGATTGTTCGTAGCTATGAATTTGAGCTGCAAGCTCTTCCTGGATCATTATGATATCCGCTTTCTCTACATCTGTATGGTCCTCCTCTGCATCCAGACTAAGCCATCTGGCACAGGTCTCCTTATAGAATCGTAACGCTTGTAGACCCAACGGTGAAAAACAACGAGTAGTGCTTTGTATACTGATTTCCGCGTACCGTAGTCCCTTTCTGATTCTACGGGCATTGTAGTCGTGTGTGTCCTTTCCGGGCTTAGGACATTCCACGATTTCATCAAAGGTTTCGGGGTATTCGTCGCCAAGGAGGGTTTTTGTCGTTGCTCGCAATCGTTTTCGAATTATTAGAGGGGGGGGGAGATGGGATCGAAAGGCGAGACGAGGCAGACATCTTTATGTATAGTTGGAGTACGATGTGTATATTCTGGTTTGGTTGTGCGTAGTGATAAAGCAAAATCAATCAAGTTACAGTGTAGCTTGGGTTACTATTTTAGCAGCGACGATGCAACTAATTAATTACCTAGTGTTAAACCGTGATTTTTTTGGCGAGGACCCCTTTAAATCTCTTCTAGTGTTTATTCGTAAATCTAAGCCAAGATTCACGAGTAGACTATATTTACAAGTGGACTAGCTTATTTATGAATTATAATTTAGTGTCTTCCAGGCCATCCAAAGAAAATTAGGTAAGCGAAGGAGACATCACTCTTCGTGTTGGTATCACAAGGTAATCACTTTACTACACGTGTAGGTCCGTATTTGATGGTACTGGTGGTTTCATTGGTTGTTGGTTCATTTTCTAGTTAAAGTGGTAGTTGCAATGCGAAGAGGTTATCCCCATTGCTGAGTCAGCTAGCCCAAGTCACATAACCAGAAAGCCTCTAAGCATATTCCCCATACACTTCGCTTTGGTCATAATATTATGAATGATTTGGATTCTCTTACTCTGTTTGCTGTTCCGATTTCCCAACCAACCGGGCGGGTGATCATGCACCAAGTTTGCGCAAACTGCAAGACATCGAAGAACAATACCTTATTAGGCAGGCAATAAACTGATCTCTTTAATCTTATCAATCTATCTTAAACCCATCCTGTTTGAAAAGCTAGTCGCGAATTGAGTTGATTTGAAGTTACCCAGTCTCCACATCAGAAGAAAGAGGAGAGGTTAGAAATTCCCTAGTCGGGCCTGGCGGCCTTGAAACGCTCGCTTACGTCGCTACCCCCTTGTGGGTTTCAACGATGATTGGGTGTGTCAGGGGTAGGAGCAGGGCCTTAGCGATACCTGGAACGTGTTCTGTGAGAGAACTGGGGTCGTTGGGAGTGAGTTGTGCGGGAGGATAAGGATTCGTCGATGAAATCGGAGGGTATCATGCGTTGTAACGCTCCCCGCAAAGGGCAGGGGCCTTGTTGCGTCTTTACGCACGCGATAAGGTGATGTTCGTCTGTTCATCGGATATTGGGGGGAGGGGAGGGGAGGCTACTTGGGCTGTGCCAAGGATTTCAAACAATCCCACCAACCTTGCTACATTGCCTGCTTGCCTATAGAGTCGATTTTAGGGGTTGATCCGAGCTGTGATTGAGGTGCAGGTTGGGTTGTGTGGAAACAGCACAGTTGCGATGAAGTACTTTAAGGTCGCATCGAGCCACACAATTAACCACTCTCTCTACCGCACTTCTACTTCAGCCTTTTTCCTACCCATCTCTCGACGAGAAATCTCTCTTTCTACAATTAGTCACTCCTTCAAATTTACTTCTTTACCAAAGCTGGAACTTGGTCTTTTTTCACTGTTTTATTACAATCAATAACCATATCAGTAAAGCATTCCCTCCTTGAACTCAACACATCAGCCACCATGCATTTCCTCAGCACTCTCACCACAGTCTCCCTCCTCGCACTCAGCGCATCCGCACTCCCCACAATCCAATCCACAAACGGGATAGCTGTGCGCGCCTCCCCCTCTGCCGTGAAGAGCAACACCACCACAGCCGCCGGCGCCGTCTCGCCCACGCTTGTCCCAGTCTTCAGCATCAAGACCGGGTCCTTGAAGGGCCTTAATGGTGTCGCGATCCCGGCAGTCTGCCCCCCGTCTCGCGCAGACTTCATTGCGAAGCTCAACACCAATGTAGCGGCGGGCAATGTGCTGGGGACGCCGATTACGTTCAATACAAATGCGGCGGTGCAGGATACGACTACGAATAAGAATCGCGCGACGGCGATGCTGATCACGCTGCAGAACTTCACGGGCAAGAAGGGCGTTGGGTGTCCGGCGGCTAGTACGCCGGAGCTGTTGACGCAGCAGAAGACGGGGGTGGTTAGTGCGACGAGTGCTACTGTTTAGTGTGGAGGGAATCGGAATGGGATGGGATGGGATGGGATGGGATTCGGAGTTTGGTGGGATTTAGGGAGGATGGGTGATTTGGGCTTGTTTTAATGAGGGCGCACTGGGATTTGGAATGAGATGCTGGGCATTGGATTTAGATGGCAAAGCCAGGCGTTTTGTGTACTTGAAAGGGTTTGGCAAAAGGGAATTGTGTATCAGAGACAGGTAACCAAATGGGAAATACGATAACATCAAGTGTTTATTGTAAGTTTGTTCAGCGGGGCAAACAGTCTGTGCTGCATTATCCATAGATCTACTCGAGATCATCATATCAGTCCAGCAAGACATTGTTCGGACGATGGCGAATTCGTAGATCAAGGTAAGGTGGGGTGGCGTGAGTCGAGGGGTTCACTCGCTTAGCCCCTGATGCGCGACGGGGTTTGGGGTCCCAAAACATGCCGCACGGCCAAATGGTTTCAAGAAAATATCCGGTCTAGCAAAGAAAAAACAAAACAAGTCGATCGGAGGGTTTCAATTCGATACGGAGAAGGTTATTTGAGGTGTTGAGCGAAGCCTCGAAGGAATGTAAGAGGACATTTTGAAACCGGCAAAGAAATTAGTGATGCTATTCTTGAGCAAAGAAACATGAGGAAGAGTGTAGACTGGAATCATTTTGGAGATAATTGGTACAATCAAAGAATACCGATGTTCCGATGAAAACAGGGCATGTGGATTCTGAATTCGTTGTCTCACATCCCTGGACTCTCAGAGCCGTGAAGAGGTTAAATACAGTACATATCTTGAGACTTTCTGATGACGTGTACATGGTGTTCTCATAAATACTATAATTTTCCACTTAAAACTAGGATGTAACTAGAATAATAGAGGGTTTCTATTGGCTGAAAACCCCCCTAGATAGATTATTTGACTTGTTTGGTGATCAAACTGCTAAAAACCCCCACTTTCTACTAGAAAAAGGGTGTTTCAGGTAGCGGGACTCCATACAAGCCTTATAAAAGCATATTCTATAGAAAGTTGCAGTATTTATGATAATACCCTATACAACGTCGGGGACTACGTACGCCTTGCTACTTCTCACCAGTAATTTTCTTTGAAACAAAGTATTCTGAGAAAAACACACTGATTTCCAAAAAGCTACAAGTAAAGGCCCGAGTGACAGGGGAATTTATAGACATCTAATCATACGTAGATGGATTGATCACGTGATAAATCCGAAGGAAAGAAGCCGAGGATCGATATGAGATAAATCTACGAAGTATACTGGTTGAAGATAGGGTAAAACACAAATTGCCAGGCTAAATAGAGACTAGGTAGAGATCTGGACAAAAAAACAGAAAAGTTCAATATGCGGGAAGCCCATCTGAGCATACGAAATTGAGAACAAGACAACAATTGATGTGCCAGCCAGGTATGAGAAACTATAAGAATGGCCATATTGACTTGGAAGGTTGTGAATTGTAGGAATAACAAGAAAGAAGTTGGGATGGCATAGCTCGGTTTAGAAGCGTCCAAGGGTACGCTCGTTCTGAAATTGAGCCTGGCCCTAGGTTTACCACTCAAACTCATCTTAGAGCCGGTTCACACGACTTGGGAATAGCTACATGTTTCGATCTCGGATCTCAGGAGGTTAGATTTTTTTTTCTCAAAGTAAAGAGTAGGGAAGAATGTATGTGTCTGCCTCGCGCGGGATCAAGGCATCAATGCAAGGATCACCTTACCTACCTATTTTAGGTACCATCTCGATCTTCAACACGCACGGGGAAGCAAGCAGCTGACAACGCAGAGCGCAAAAGAGGCGAAGGATTATTAAACAAATAGCAGATGAGCATGCGCAGAATTATCTATGTAAATATTGTGACTGTGGGATAATTATAAATATAGATATTTACCGTAAAAGACGTAACATGTGCATCATAGAATAAAAGCGGGGGGTGAAGCTACTCGTACTGATAATTCACCGTCGCTTCAATTACACGTCCACCTGTTCCGCTTCTGCTTTCTGATCGCGTAAATCTAGAGGGCACTTGTTGTCTCCATCTCCTTCTCTGAAAGCTAGACATTTGTACAAAATCAACTTTGGGCGTCTTGGATCCACATATGACTTTCGAAATATAACTCGTAGCTCCACCAGCTCCTCCAGCTCCTCCGCCTCTTCGCTCTACTCCGTACGCCCCAACGACCCTGGTCGACCGGGCGGAAGCTGTTTGCCAACCAACAACCTCCCCCCACCAAAGACCTTGATTCACTCGACCTGCGTACTTGAAGTACCCGTCTTTATATCTGCGAGGCCCCGTTCATGAAGTCCACGTCGCAGAACATCCACTGCGCTTCCTGCCGGGAGTTGCACCTACTGCAAGGGCACTATGGTGAAGGCAGATCTTACACGAGATTATTATGGTGACCTTGAGTTGCCACCCGGGGCTGATGCACTGGAGATCAAGAAGCAGTTCAAGAAGCTTGGTACGGCTTGTTCACTTCTCGGGACATCCTGCACTCTTAGCTGACCTCGGTGTGCTACAGCTCTTACCTATCATCCGGATCGAAATCCTGGACGAGAAAGCGAAGTCGTAGCAAAATTCCAAAAGATACAGTCCGCTCACGAAGTCCTCAGCGAACCAAGCGAGAAGGCGAAGTACGATGCCAATAGGATTAGAACAACCTACAAGGCATCTTATTCTGGCGGTACTGCATCTGGAGTGCGAGGGAATCCCTGGTCAAATGCGGGATCACAATGGGCACCACCTCCGAAGGCCCCAACTGCTCGGAATAGAGCTCCACCTCCACCACCGTCGGCCGGCGCTCGAAGATACGACAAGTTCGATGCGCCCAAAACATCATCTTCACAATACGCATACGAAGGCGCAGAGGCGAGGAAAGGAACATATGAGGCGTGGGAACACATGAAAGGCCACACCGCGAAACCAAGCCAGACTAGAACAGCTCCCAAACCTCCACCCCGCGAGCCACCTAGGCCTGCAAAAGATTACAGAAAACCACCTCCGAAGCCCGCCTATGAAGAATACCGAGATTCAACTTCGGATACGAGTCCACATCGCAGAAGTGCGAGCACAGGTGCATCAGCGAGGAAAGGCTTTATGCCAAATACGCCGGGGGGAGATGAACCTGCTGCACCAAGAGGGGCATACTTCACGACGCGTGCGCCACCACCACAAGTGCCTCCGCGTAATCCTCCGCCGGTAAATCCAGCGAATATCGGTGCGGATCCGCTACGCCAATTCAGAGATATTGAAGGTGATGACAAGGTTCCAAATCTGGAGAAACGCTACACACCTTACGCTACTCATGGGGGGGAAAAGTTGAACCCGTTCGAGAGTGCTAATCTTAACAGATCAAAAAGTACCAAGGAACCGTCCATCAAAGGGAAGAATGTTCCAAGAACTGGCTCAGATCCGAACTTAGCCTCGCCCCGTCGGCCACGCTCATTTGCTGCTGATAGCACGAGACCGAGAACTTCGGCAGCTTATCAAACCCCAACTGTCGACATTGATAGTGATAGTTCTGATGATGTAACCGGACCTCACATGAATGGGCATGCATTTGGTAAATCCCGAGCTTCTATGCGACGAAGCAATAGCACTGCTTTTCCACGAGCGCAGCCAGATCCTAATGCCGCCGAGGCTTCCCCCAATTCACGTAAGCCCAAAAGCAAACTCACACGATTCCAGCAGTGGACGAAGGAAAATCCTGGTAAACAGCCGGATGTTGACTCGTGGATTCCAGATGGACCTCCTCTCCGCTCAGAACAGCCAAGCACCCAATCAGACAAAGACAAAATGTATGCCTCATCCGACTTCCCTTTCTTCGGCAAACAGCGTACATCCAGTCATCCAGCCAAACTCCCGACAGTATCGGAGAAGAACTCAGCGAAGCATCCTAAAGTTGCATCAAGACAGACCTCTTTTGCATTCGACTTTGAAAAGTTCCCCAATCTTTTCCCGACTGGAGATGGGGAACACGCGACACCTAGTGGGGCCGCAAGTGAGCCGCATACTCTGAATCCTTTTGAAGGTCTCCAGCGTAACCTTGTCGACCAACTTCTATCCAACAAGAGCAACAGCTCCTCGCGTCAGAATTCTGGTGATAGTTGCGCACAGGATGGGTCTCCGGTTGCCTCTCGGAATGGAAAGCATGCCATCAATGGCAATCGCTGTAGTCCGTCTAATCAGTGGCAAAACTACAGAGATCCATTTGAGACCGCAGGCCCGTCCAAGAAATCCAAACCCCTTGATTATTTGCATTCAGTACATTTGCAACCAACTAGCAAGACGCGTGGTTTTTATTCAGATATAGCGCGCAAGAATACCAATGCTAACCACTTGCGCCAACCTTCTAGATTTACTTTCCCTGTTGACAATGATACCTTTCAACGAACACAACCAACTCAAAATGGCTTTACTAGCAACAGTGCCGAGAACATCAGTACCAAGTTCGCGGCTGAGGATTGGGCTGGCACGTTTGAGGCTGGCACGAATGTCTTCAAGCTAGACCCAAAAGTTGTAGGCCCTCAACCTCGGGGTCGTGCTCAATCTGCCAGTCGATCTAGGGGACGTTCGCCTATCAAAGTATCAACTGCACCAAATTTCGCAGCACCTGCAGAGGAAGCATCAACCGAGTCACCTGGAGGTACCAAATTCTCTGCTGAACAATGGTCGCAATACTTCAAGCCTGGAAAGCCTGGTCTCTTTGCCCCTACGCCCGGTGCTCCTCGCCCAGCAACTAAAAAGGGGCGTGGGTCTGTCGCACGACCAACGATGGGAGGGAAGGCTGCTGTTGTTGATGACAGCGAAACACCTGATGAGAAGCCTCTCTTTGATGCTAAGCCGGCTGGTCCTTCAACACCTTTTCCGCCTAGCCCAGATGCAATGGATGTCGACACACCACCAATCACAAACACTGTTCCTCAATTCGCAGAGAGACCGAGCACCAATAAGGATAATCTGAAGCGACCAGCTGGCTCATCCCAACCACAATCTCCTACTGACACAGAGGGTCTGAAAGTAAACTTCGACGACATGAAAATCCAAGATCTTATCTCATCACTCAACCTCCCCTCATCCCCCACCGCACCAGCCGCCCCGCAGATCCCATCCCACTATGAGCGACCCGGCCGCATAGCATTCTCTACATTCAAGACCAACTTCGCCAAATATATGAAAGAGTGGGATGTCTTCAACAACCAATTTATGCTACACCTGGTAGCCCGCAAAAACCAAGTCGATGCCCTCGGCGCCAGAAGATGGGAAGATGAGGACGGCGTTGAGTTTTATAGACGGGGACTGAGGGAAGATGATGTGGTGTTGAAGCATTGGCAGGATGCGCGGGAGGTGCATGAGAAGGCTATCAAGGAATTTGTTGTTGTGAGCGAGCGGATAAAGACACGGGAGGATATGGCTGCTACGCCAAGTCCAAGGAAGAAGACACATTAACTTATTCATCGTAAGGACGAATGTTGTATATCACAGAGGAAGTATATGAATATCACGGGAGACGGAGAGCGGCATATGACAGGAGGAAAGCTCTCATTTTCATTTTTGCCATTTTTCTGTGGATTGATTCATTGGTTTGGAATGGCTGATACCCTCTACATGGCGAGCGACATAAGTGGATTGGAGCGGACTGGGTTCGGTTGCTGTATGATATGATTCGGGCCAAGCGAGCAAGCGTCGGCGTTACTTGGTAATTGGATGCTAGTAGCATACATTGCTAGTATTATAGATGAAATACAAACATCTTTGAGACATGGCTCTAGTGAGTGTGGGAATTTTATGTGAGGTTTAAGTTCTCGCGAGGCCGGATAGGGGTCTAGAGGGGTAAAATAGAGTACTGTATCAATCTAAGCTCCGTGGCTGCCTTTACCTTTTGCCTTTGCTTTTCAGTACCTTATTTGCACATCATATCGCGTTGATGCACAGATAAGCATTCTCTCTATATGACAGTTGTGTTTCCAACCCCACGCATTCTTTATCAGCACTCATCACGTCTTCATTTCCCCAAAGCACGTCATCCCATCACCACTCCTGATCCTACAGTAGTATTCATTATCATCCCCAACATCAACCATCCCCATAAACCTTTTACTGAATAAAGTAACCCACCAGCAACCAACTCAGCAAATCAGCAAGATGCCAACAGCCCAGCCCCCGCCCCTCAACGTAGCCATCATCGGCGGCGGCCCCGGCGGTCTCGGCGCCGCCATCGCCCTCTCAGCACTCCCGCACATCTCTGTAACGCTGTACGAGCAAGCGCGCGAGTTGCGGGAGATTGGCGCGGGGATCCGCATTGGCGCTAATTGCTGGACTGTGCTGGGGTTGCTAGGTGCGGAGGATGGTGTGAAGGGGCATGTGGAAGAGAGGGTGCTGCAGAGGAATGGGCTGAGTGGGGAGTTGCTTGCGGAGAAGAATTTGGATGGTGCGTTGAGTGGTGGAGGGAGCGTGAAGGAGAGGAGCGGGGTTGAGCCGCAGAGGGTGAGGAGGACGAGGTTGCAGAGTGCGTTGGTGGGTAAGGTGGGGGAGGGGATTATTAAGTTGGGGAGGAAGTTGGTAAGGATGGAGAAAGTGGCGGGCGGCAAGGGGGGTTCGGTTGTGGTTTGAGGATGGGGGGACGGAGGTGGCTGATTTGGTGGTTGGTGGGGATGGGATACGCTCTGTTCGTTTTTCCTCCTCTTTTTTCTGTTTCTCGCAGGTGATGATACTGTGTCTATGTGTGCTGACGAGGTATGAATGTGGTAGGTTGTGAGAGAGCACGTGTTTCGAGACCACAGCATCAAGTTCACAGGCACGACTATCTTCCGCACGCTCATCCCCGCCTCATCCGTATCCCATATCCCTGATATGACGCCCGCCACAACTTGGTGGCATGGTCCTACGGGGCACATGTACAGCTCTCTCGTCGATGACCCATCGGAATTAAGGCCGGAGGAGCAGATGTTTGAGATTGCTGCGAGAGATGTGTGTGACCCGGCCACTGTGACGGGGAAGAGGTTTAGTTGGGGTGTCCCAGCTACTAAAGAACGTGTGGAGAGCTTTTTTACCGTAGGCCGAATTTCTTTTCTGTCTACCTGACTCTTATGTGAAATCCGAAAATTAAGAGTCAAGTTTCGAAGATAAGATTTAGTCGAGTTTAGCTGATATGTATGTGTGTTGCAGGACTATGATCCGAGGGTGAGAGAAACGTTGGCCATAGTCCCAGAGGGGCAGTGGAAAGAGTTCTCTGCGTTCGCGGGGCCGAGACTCGAGAAGTTGGTTGCGTGGGAGGGACGTGTCGTGCTGATTGGTGATGCGAGCCATCCTTTATCTGGTACAGTACTCCACTTCTCACCTGCCTGAAAGTTCCCTCCCCTTTAGATACCTCCTGGAAGCTGATGCATCGGTCCCTACCTTATAGGCGCGTTTGGTTCAGGCGCCGCGTTTGCTTTGGAGGACGGCTGGATTCTGGCTCGAGCTATTGAGTATGCGCGTGGAGACTTGCAGGCGGCGCTGGATATCTTTGATGAGATTCGGAGTCCTTATTATTATAAAATGTGGGTTCTTTCCATCCATCCTCCCTACCTTTTGTTCGGAATGCTGCTTGCAAGGCTTGCTATTCACCTGACTTAATCTGACTTGGATAGGTATCAATATCTCGACCAGATAAAGGCCAGTATGCAGAACGCTAAAGCCGCGAATCCGACTCAGAGCTTCGAGGAGAGTTTGGAAGCGAGGGTGAATGCTTTTGGTGGGGAGGATCGGCTGTCTTGGATATATGGCAATGATATCAAGGATGTATGGAGGAAATGGGTAGACGGGAAAATAGCAGCAAAAAGTGTGAAGTAGTGGCACACTGTCGCAGTAAACACAAATACAGTAAGAAAACTCTTGCTGAACGGGAATCCTGAAAGACGCAGGTAGGACATACAAGCGGTCTACTTTTTAATTTCATCCGGACCTACATTTCTTTTCACGCTCCCCACCAATCCTCTTGCACTATAATCAACCTTCCCTCTCAAAAAAGTATACCTCGGCCAGTTCGCGAACAACAAATCCTAAAACGGCGTACAAGCAACCGCGTGATGCTCAGTCTAAGCAGCGTCATCTCTTCCCGGGCATACCAAATACCAAATGCTAACATCAGCTGACATAAACACCAGCACAACCGTCCCCTTCTTTTGATAGCCAGCCCAAACACGCGCGCATATATAGTCTTCTACACCTGCATCTTTGACACTCCCACAGCGAGGTTTTGGGCTCATATCCCGATCCAGACAGGGGAGAAGGAAAGAGGGGAAGGAAGAAGAACGGTCTTTTCCTCAGTTGGATCTCCACAGTCTCTGTCACTAGAAGTAGAGGCATACCGAGTTTCTCTTTGATGACCAGATGTGTCTGCCCCGATACATTGGGATTAATAGGATCATATACGTGTTTTATCAAAATATTCGCAAAATCATAGCGGTCGCACCAGGTCGGTTCTGCTTCCATTTGGGAAATCCCTGGCTTTCAATTCGCAGAAGTCTAGATAATGTGACCGTCATCGTCAAAGATACTCTGTGAGCTTAGCAATATGTCCTTGGATCCAAGACTTGTCAAAGGCGTTTGGGATATTCTTGAGTGCGAATATTGGACTAGTCAGGGCAAAAGAGGCCCCCAGATTGATACTACTGGTGGTGATACCAGCCAGCATTTAGCGGGTGATTTCTGTCATCATATGTTTATTGTCCCCATTGCGGATATATCGGACATGGCTTAACCCCCAAGCCTCATCATGTTAAAACCTCCTAGGCACGGTTGCTTATATGAATAAGTATCTGTGACTAAATATGGGCACTAGTCTGTTTCGGGAGATACCCGCGAGACTACCCCTGGTCAACAGCCAATGAATACACAGCCATCAGAACTCTTACTATTAATTGATATTGACAGTCATTTCATTTCAGGTCGAGCGCCGTGCCGTCGGATTTAATGTATTTTTAGTCGCGTTACAAATCTAGATTTATGAAGCCAAGCTTAGGATTTTCATCACTGACTGACTATAAGTACCATGTAGTAGTACATCACCTTTAAGATATCGGATGCGATCACTCTTCAACGTCTCAAGAATACTTTTCTCTCCCTCTTCTTATATTGGACCCCAAATCAAAATCAAAATTACAGAACATGCCACTTAAAGTAGGGTCCGGCGTGGACTTTGTTCCTGACAGGGATATACCAAATCTGTCCAACAAAGTGATTTTTGTCACAGGTGGTGAGCAGTATTAATATCATATTCAGATACATCGTTGATAAAGATATTTACAGGCACTGGAGGCTTAGGCAAAGCAGCCATTCTTACCCTGATCAAAAAGAAACCATCCAAAATCTACGTCACAGCTCGGAACCCTTCGAAATTTCAAGACCTAGTCAACGAGATCCAGGTCGAGAATCCCAGCATACAAGCAGTCTCAATTCTTCACCTCCTCAACTGCGACCTCGCAGACCTCAAAACCGTCCAATCAGCCGCCCACCAAGTCCTCACATCGACAACCCCAAAGCTAGATATATTCATTGGCAGTGCAGGCGTATTCCTCGCCTCCCCAGCTCTCACCAAAGATGGCTACGAGGTCCAATTCGGCACAAACCACATGAGCCACGCTCTCTTCATCAAACTCCTCTTACCGCTCCTCCAGAAGAGCCCAGACCCTCGCATTGTGCTGTTCACTTCGGGCGCGTTCGCCATGCATCCTGCGGGGGGAATACTGTTCGATAGTCTGCACACGACGCAAGAGAAGGAATTCAGAATCGCTGCGCCTTGGCGATTGTACGCACAAAGTAAACTGGCAAATGTGCTGTTTTGTGCGGAGCTGGCGAGGAGGTATGCGGATGTAGCGGCTGTGTCGGTGCATCCGGGCGAGGTTTACACGGACGGGTTTGCGAATGTAGGGCAGTGGAGTAGACGGATTCTTGTGGCGATGAGTATGAATAAATTCATGACTCCTGAGGAGGGGAGTAGGAATGCGTTGTGGGCTGTTACTGCGCCTTTGTATAAGGGGGAGGTTGGTAACGGGGAGGGTGTGAAGGAGAGTGAAAAGGGTCTTGTGGTTAATGGTTCTTACTATGAGCCCGTTGGTGTCCCGGGGAAGCATATGAGGTCGTCGACGGATGGGGATTTGGCGAGGAGGCTGTGGGAGTGGACTGAGAAGGAGCTGGAGAAGTTTAATTAAGTAGTGTGTTTCGAAGGTTTTGGCGCAGTAATTGGAATACAAGGGACCTTGTAGTTCTGTTCATGGTTTTTTATACTTCCTGAATGTTCCCGCTTCTCTATTTGCTGGGACCGGTGAAGTGTTTGTGGTGACATATAGTCACGTGCTACATATCCCGAAAGGTGTCTGCACTCCATTGTCCTTAGCATCTTATAATTTGAAGACTAAATTCTTATATGAGCTATGATCTATTTGGATGGTAGATTGAACGCCTTGCACCTGTTCATGTGCTTTGTAGGTGCACAAATGATCACGTGGTACTACCCCTGAAAGGATACCTATATAGGTAGGCTACAAAGATGAAGGAGTTGTACCTTAATGCTAGAATAAGAGGTAGTAATTGTCAGGTGAAGGTTCAACTTTTGGGTGAGGCACGGTCTGATGTGTGTAGAGTGAGGACAGAAGTAAGTGAAGATGTCCATCACTAGTACCTACCTACCTAGTTTAGGTAGGGTATACTACCTAGGCTCATGTAAGCAGCTGATCCAATCACCAGAACCACAGTGAACCAGCGACGCTAAGGATTGCTCTTCATCATCACACCGCAACAATCAAGTTCTAAGGCTTTGGCGATAATCAATCAACGACAACGAAAAATCAAACAACACCAAGCAGTGCCTCTAAAGCTGTTAACAAATGTCGCGAATACAAGCCGTTTCTATCATGGAAGAATCTGCACTCATGAATCTACCGTCCGATTTGCTCAGCCTAATCCTCGATCATGCGGTTTCCATCTCAGACCTAAGAAACATCATTCCCGCCAGGCTAGTGAATAGTGAGCTTTGTGTCGCATACCTCTGAGGTGTATTAATTTTGTCCTAGGGATTTTTGCCAAAGAAATCTTACGTGCGTTTTGCCATTCAGAAAATCTTGATTTCAGCAAACCGCACCTCTTCGGGAATGGGATTGATGATGGTCCGCCAGTGTCCGAGCCGTTCGTCACAGGTGCACTATTGTCGCGTTTGAACCGCAAGTATGCCACTCGCAATCATTATCTGTCAACAATCCTTGCAGCGGAAGAGTATATGATGATGGAATACCCCAATCAAACGGAAGAACAGCGACACGAGTACAGATACGCCTTGTGCGCAGCTGAGAACTGGCGATCGTGCATGAGACATGAAGGATTTCTACCAAACACGGAGCCAATATTTCCTGAGCACAAGCCTACGGTCAAAGAGTGGTCGCCCCTTTTCAATGCTTTGTGTGCTGCTGCTTGGATGGGACACGAAGACTTGGTACGGCAACTCCTCCAGAAAGGCGCAGATCCTAATCTCGAGGAAGGCTACTTTCGACCCCCACTCCAGCAAGCGGCTAGGAAGGGTCACTGTAATATTGTACTTCTGCTGCTGGAGGCAGGGGCAAACATTAATTTGGGGTACTCGCGGCCAAGGGATCTTCAAAAGAAAGGGGCTCTTTATTTTGCAAGTCGCTATGGCCACGAGAAAGTAGTGAACCTTCTCCTCACACCTATTTATCGTTTAAGTTTTTTGACATCAATTGCCGACAGTGCAGTCTACCCGGCCATCCAAGGCGGGTATCAGCACCTGGTTCAGATACTCATAGAACACCCAAAGATAAAAGAGGATCTGTCACTTGCCAAAATTGGGGAATGTATGCTGTTGGAAGCCTGCGTCTCCGATCAGGATGAGGTCCTCCGCTGGCTCCTACTAGACAAACATGGATTGCGCGACCGTTTGCTTGGACGTCCAAAGTTTCTGCAAAGAGCAGCACTGCATGGTCGGATATCTATCGTACGGCTCCTGCTCGACTATGGGGTTAATCGCTTTGGTTCCGCACTGGCAAATGCAGCGAAAAATGGCCATGTTGAAGTGGCAAAACTTCTTCTCGATACCCCAGGCGAACGGATCGATCGTCTCGCTATGGTGAATGGGCAGCGGCCCTTTAGATACAATCCCACAACTCATCCTATCGACCAGCTACCTTTGTACTGGGCATCAAAGAATGGACATACTTCAATGGTCAAGTTGCTTCTGGAGTATGGTGCCAGTGTTGACAACGAATATATGCGGCACGCGACGATCCATGCAAATGAGCAAGTCTTGCGGTTACTTGTCGCAGCTTTAGTGGAACAAGATAAAGTCGCCAAAAGCTGCCAGAGCACGCTTCTAGAATGGGCGGAGAGGATGGACAAGCAGAACGTTGTGAAAATGTTATCGGAATTTGGATATCCACATCATCCCGAGTCTGCATGAATGAGAGCGTAGCATACAACGCTGGGACGCCACGAATGTTGAAGATTCACTTGTGTTGGGTCATGGGAACAGATTTTTAATGGGAGGAGGAACAGTTCTCGATATTCAAGAAGACGATTCCTTTTTTCCCAGATCCTTAGTGGTTGTTCAATCGCGAGACCCGACAATAAAACATGCGCATCGCAGCCATCCCATCAATCGCCCCTTCTTCAGCAGACGCATTTTCATTTTCTTTTATCCTTCTGTTTATTCGATTTTAGATTCAGCCAAATATAGTCTCCAGTCCCATCTCTTGCATGACATCCATCCAAAAGCACTCCAGCCCGGCATCGAGTCTGGTCCACGTCTCTTCCAACAATGCCAATGCCTTCTTGACTGGCTTCGCCGGCAACGATTTACAATAATCCTGCAAGCGAGTAGTAACAAACCGTCTCGCTGTAGCAATATCTACTTCTCGATTCGTAATACTGTTGAAGATCGATGTGGATGGGTTGAGAGTTGAAAGTGGGTCGAAGCGGAGCTCGCTGCCTGCAACAATAAGAATGATGGGTTGCAAACAGCGTGTTCCAGAAGTCAGGGGCAGCTTTTCGAGGATTGATACCGTGTGTAAAGCGAGGGAGAGAAGAAATTCTTCTGGGGGGAGTGAATTGTCTACGGGGAGGAAGTGAAAGAGGTTTGGTGAGGGTGAGGGTGAAGATGTAGCGAATGCGGTATCCGCTACTGGAAATCTCCGAACAAGAATCGACGGAAAGACACGGTAGAGCTCGATCAGAGCAGAGCATCGATATGCTTCGGCAAGGAGGACGTAGTGATGAACTGGTGTGTTTTCATCGCCTGCGTCGACAAGATCGGACACTGATGGTGGCTCAAATGAGAGCAACTCTTCTTCCAAAGATTGCGCTTTCGCAATCGCTTCAGCACCTGAGCCGCCAGGTAACTCCATGTCGAACGAGAAATCGAGCGAGAAAAAGTCGAGCGATGCTGCATCTTGTGCTGTGGTCTTACGATAACTGCGGATGAGACGACCGACTTGAGCGAATAGCTTCTGAACTTTAGGAGCGACACCTGTCCATGGATGAGGGAAGACCTTTTCTTTCTCCGCGCTGGATGCCGAACTGCTTGCCTCATTCGACAAGGTTGTTGATTCGAGTATTGACATATCAGCATACCCAAGTTCCTCGAGGTCATCTTCTACGAAGCCAGCCAACATATCCCAGTATAATATACACTGCTCAAAGAACTCATTCTGACGTTGCTCTCGAGTTCCAACACCAACGCCCTGCTGTTCCACTCTCTTTTTGTTTAACCTTTTTGCTGTCTTCAAATGCACGAGGCCCAGATCCTTCGGATCATGCCACGCGGTCGTTTGTCCAACAAGCAGTACTGTTAGAAGCGTCTTGTCAAGATTCTCTGTCTGGCCTTGAACTCCCTTCTGGGATTGATATAGACACTTGTATGTCTCTCGCTGCATTTGTATCCCAACAGGCGTCATCCGTGGAAAGTGGTTGGCCAAGTATGCAGCAGCCATACTTTGTATGGCGTAGTAAATGGGAGCAGAGCCGTCCCATAATCGCCCCACCGTTGACCGAAATGGGTTTAGGGTTCCGTCGAATGATGAAAATATCTGGCATACATAGTTGAAGTAATATTCTACGAGCATGGTTGGAAGATGTAAGAGGAATTCCGGAACTGTGGAGCGGTGAAGTTGTTGCCGGATTGCTGAAAGACTGTCTGTCTGGTTGGAGTCTCGTCGAGAATCGCTTGCTATAAGTGGGGATCCAGGAACAGATTGCATAGAAGTTTCTGCTATTGAATCGGACTCATCCTGTGGCTGGGGAGAAACAAAACAACTCTCTGGCCCCTTCTCTTCTTCTGGAGAAGGAGGTAGAAGGTCCTGTGGTGACTCTGGTTTCTTGGACGCCGCAGGAAGAGGAGCATGCGAACTGCTCACAAGCAATTTCTCATGCTTTGTAGACCACACAAGCGGTTTTATCTTGTATCCCGGGCATGACAAGCTCTTGCGATTGCACTGGAGGCATTCTGGCTTCCCCTCATCGCATTTCAACTACAGCGATGTCAGCTCCCAATATTCCACCACACACGCCAGGGAGAGGCTCAAGTACTCTTTTGCTTTTACATCTTAAGCAGCCATTACGACTCTTGGGTGCTTTTCTTGGATTCTTTGCCTGAGTTTGGCTAGTCGCTTCGATAGCAGCCATGATACCTTCCCCTAAAGAGGCTTCGTTTTGGAGTTGCAGACTGGTATCCGAAAGTGGGGTACCGGTGTTCATCTTCTTTCAGCACTGATGGCCGCTCTCCAGATACAACTTTCGTATTGTATGCAGTGATCTTCGGGCCAAAGATGTACATATAAGACCCAGAGTGAATGCTCTTGAACGTAAAGTCTTTTGAGGCCTTTGAATTCCCAATTGTCCGGGTGCATGATGCATCACGGAAAGATAAGCCTCAGATAAGCGGACCGACCGTCTGTTGGACTTAGCTGCTTACATAAGCCGTCTGTGGCATAAAACTCTTCATCATGATTAGCTCGTCTTCTAGACCACCAGGACTACACAGAATGATATGCCCATCACCTCTATACTAGCTTTGACGCTATTCATCGTCCCCTTTTTCTAATACAGTCCGTGTCGGAGCTCGAGTCACGTGTGCATTGGATCTTTCACTGGCAGTCTACTGCAACTCGTCAACCTGCAAATATCAAATCTAATAGCACTAAACTAGACTACCCGAGCTCGAGAAGCGTTTCCTTATTTAGCACAAGCACTTCTCATATTGACTTTACTAAATCATGCAAATATTGATGCCTTTCGCGCCGCATGCCCCTTTAATAAGCGAATATTTCCAGGCGCCAGAAGCTCACGTCCTGTTTTATGGGACTGAAACGCAGGAGCGATGTTTATTATCACTCTGAGGAATTTTCTTTTTCTTGGAAAAAATTCCCCGTGAACCTTGATTGATAAAGCTGCCGTCGAGGCATTCACTTGATCGCAGCTCTAGTTGGTCGTTTGCAGTTGATGAACGGCCATTTCATTCATCTATATGTCATTCATGATTTTCTCATTGCTGTGAATTTCTGTACTTCCACATTAGTTTCCCTCAAGTTCATAGAAACCTTTGGGGCACAGTGCATACGATCTTTGCTCTTTTCTTCATATTGAGGGGCGTAGAGAGCATGACGGTCCTGGCAGACTAAAGCTTTGGACTTTTCAGAGCTTTATACTATATGGATGAATTTATGGGAGGTGCTATGTCGACGGGTATTTAGAGCTGGGACCACCACCGCCCTGATACCACCACTCTTTTAGATTTTTGCGTATCTGGCCTTGGGTCAGAATCTCGCAAATATTTAGTTCTGTTTAATGGGTTAATTATGCGCCTTGTCTCCATTCTCACACTGGAAAGGAAGTGATTTGTGCAATAGTTAGAAGAGTAAGAAGTTATATTGGCAAGTTAGTTGGCTGATGGGATAAAAGATGCGCGAATTGGTAGATTAGTGGCTGGGATGAAGGTGGAGGGTAACCACACCGAAGGACAAGAATAGAAGATAGATGGAATCAGCAACCTTACGTGCCGTTGACAGACTAACTGTATTGGAGTCAAGCTGAAATATTTAGGTTATTGAATCCGAGTGGGTTTACGTTTGGTTATGTCACGTCGCTGTGCGTCAAGATCTAGTATCTAGGCTTATTGCATAGAGCAATGACCCCGTCCGGTATAACTGCAGACTTTTCGTTATGTACCAAGTTCTTCTGAATACAAGTCCTCTTCATATCTTTAATCTAGGCTCAGCTCAGCCAGTTCCCCAAATCTAACGCAAATGACGAGCTGAAAGCACCAAACATCGCCCTGGCCTTCCTGCGGGTGACGGAAACGCGTCGATTGTCTTGATCCGTTAAATTAGGCCCATTCAAGCAGCTTAACCCACCTGAAGTGTGCTCTGACTGCAATCGAGGGCAATTCTTGGCAGGTACTTGGGTGGTTGGAAACCCATTAAGTGGAGGCTTCGATCCAAAATGTGCCCATGAATGCTGCGCTGGATGAAAGTGCTCGTTTGCCAAGTGTTCCTTGGCCTTTTCGAGACTTTTCGATGCAGTCCAAGGTAGATTGACGTTGGCATTGTCCACTGGGATCAGATCGAACTGAGCATACTGAACATTGCGAGGCGATTGTCTTTGGGAGTCTGGGTCGACTATTGCTGGAAATGGTATCAAGGGATCGAAGGACGGCCAGTACACAATGATTTCCTTCAACTCAACAAACGGTGATAAACGTCGACGTGATGAAAATTTAATATAATAAAACAGCTCTCGTGCAAAACTTTCCCCGAAAGCCATCCTGTCAATTTCCGTGCCTTTGGCGAGGTCGACGAAAAAAGATTCGAGCATACCCATTGCGTCGATTTCAACCACTTCACTATCAAAATTTGGAGGCATAAAGCATAGAGTGTCGACTTCCCAATTGACGTAAATGCGGGGAGGGATTGTGATAGTGAGATCGACTTCGTTGATTTTGTCCTGTATTTTGGAACCGAATTCAAGTGTGTAATATCTTGAGCCCTCTCTTTTGGCTTCCGCACACGACTCAAGTACTGGTGGTGTATATGTGCTGGTAGCAAACTGATACATCGATTTGTTGACCCGCGGAGATATCAGGGCACGCTCAACAGCTGAAATAGCTTTGTGAAACTCTGGGTCGCTACCGAGCAGTTGAAGCCAAAGTGGAATAGTTCGGGGGACAGAACAGGCAATTCCCCAGATCTTGAGTCGAACTTCAGCTGGCAGTCTCGGCAAGAGCTCGAACATTTGATCATCCTCAACAGTAGCAGTGCTGGAGGAAATATTATCGTCGGCCAAGGCGGTTGGTGAAGTCGGTTCGTCACTCATCGCGACAATCTGTCGAGAAACTTGTGTGGGGTTTGGAGAAAGATCCAACTGGAAGAACGTCAGTTCAAATTCAATATTTTCAAAGAACAAAACACATATGGACACAGAGCGTCGCTGATCCCTCAAGTGCAAGTCGTTCTTCCGCGTGATGCTCAAAGGCTGTTCTCCCCAGTACGCAACCATGAGAATCAATCTTACGTGTGTCGTGTCAGAGGATCTTTGTACAAGATCGAGAACCAAGCAGCAAAGCTGAGATCTCGGGAAAGTGAATGGTGGATGGTCGCTGCCGTAGAGAAGCAAAGGCAACACGTGATATGTATGCTCCTGCTTGAAAATCAATCGACTTTTCTTCGTATTAACTAGGAATAGTATCACTAGACATTACTAACCTATGAAAAAGGCTAATTATAGAGAGCTCTTTATTCTAGAGATTGTCCTTGCACGTGATGTAGCTGATTTATAATCCCACCAACGACATCTTATTTCCCGAGTTTCCTTTTCTCCAGTCCAGTTCACGACTTGTGATGCAATTATTTGCTGTTCAATGTCCAATATTTAATGATAGGGGGTTCCTAGACCACCTCTGCCCTGATTAATAGCATGGACGAGTCTGCAGCCGGTTCCACGTCCGCCAATCCAACCAGCGAATATTCGGATGGTCAACTCGGATTGTTCTTTTGTGATATCTGTAGGAAACCATTCAGCAACGGTTGCTATCCTCTTTGAGTTTATTTATGCTCAGATCTAATGAAATTGCAGAGTATTCACGCAATCGCCATCTTCCGTATTGTCGCCGGAGTCAAAATCGGCAACGTACTCGTCAGAAGTCCTGTCAAGCATGCAGTATCGCCAAGACAAAATGTAGCGCTGGTGAGAAATGTTCTCGATGCAGTTCGAGGGGGCTCAATTGCATCTACGATGACTCTAGGAGGATTCGAGGGCCTTGCTCTTCGAAATCAAAGGCTTCACCGATGTCTTCCAACCTCCCAAAGAATCTCAATGAGGAATTTGTGGCCGGGGACAACTCGGGCCTTGAGAATGACTCATCAGACTGGGCTATGACCATAGAAAATGCGGCTTTTCTAGCGGATGCCTGGGAGACACAACACCCCTTTGCCTCGGAGCCAAACAACACAATAGCACCAATTATTGACTCAGACATAGATTCACCCCGTTGTCATGAGATATATAGAGAACCCGTTGTGCTGCAAGATATCCTTCCAACTGGACTGCCCTCACTTTCTCAACCGCAGAAAATGTTTGGGTTTGACTGGAGCCTGTACTCTTCTGAGTTGTCCATACCGATGACCGTATCACGGCAGCAAAATGCATGCGTCCTCAAGCCATACTTATTACAAGATGCTGTCGCTCAGCATAGCGCCAAGTACATAGTACAAACTTTACGAGCCTACCCACGGATGATGCTAAGAAAGTCGACATTTCCACCTTTCATACATCCGCATTGGCATGGCCATCTCCCAGCACCCCTTGCAAATTGCATGAGTATTGCACAAATGTTCTCAACACGAACTGCAGACACTAGTCCATTCGTATGGCGTACTATAATGATGGAACAGCAGCGCCTAGCAAATGAAGTCAGTGCTATTTTCATAGACCCTACCCTTGTATATGCCTGCAGACTAATGTTCATATCTCTAGTTCAAGGACCTGCCGAAGGAAGAACTACTTGCTGCAATACAAGCTTACATGATATATGTTATAATGAGGATTGATGATACGACTGGTTTCACCAATTCCGATTTCCAGATGCTGTTGTCTCTACATGTGAGTACCTAGTCTGTCTAAGTCAGTAGCTCGATTAATGAAGAAAGTTGATGTGCTTGGAAACTCGAGAACTTTGCCCTGGGCCATTTGCTCACCACGAACAATTTGATGATAAACAAAGTTGGGAAGATTGGATATTCGCAGAATCTCGACGAAGGTAAGTACTTCTTAACATCCTGAAAGCATTGCTTCGCAGATCGGTAGACCTGATAATTATATCCAGAGTTGCAGTTCTTTGGTTTCTCGTCACTCGAGTAGTTTGCGTTGCCACAGATCTTCACTGCGATACATCAGAAGCATTCCAGGCGCTTCCTTTGCCCACAGCAAAATCACTCTGGGAGGCTAAAGATCGTTCAACCTGGGAAGAAGAGTACAAAATCAACAACGTGGCACAAATGTCGTTCTTCGGTGAGCTCATTGAAACACAGCGACAAGCTGATGTAGGATCTAGGACTGGCCAACTCGACGCCTGGCATTCGAATATTGATAATCTTGGGACGTTGCTCACTCTTGCCATAGCCACAGTATGAACAGAGCCTGAATCTTGGGTTTGATGCCAATGGTGTTGAGCTTTTAGCGGAAGTCTTGATTGATGGAGAATCCATATATGATTATCATGCATAGACCTAGAAAGGTTATATACATCATAAGTATAATCTTCTTTTACACGATGCTGTTACAAAGATGGTGTCTGAAAACGGGTTTCGGAAGACCACTTCCAATTACTCCTTGAAAGTCATGGTTTGTTAGTCTAAAGGCCAACTATATGAATTCTTCCACCTACCCCGGATGCCAATTTTCGAGGTAAGCCTGATCCCGCTTTAATGCTATTAGCCTTATGGCAAGCTTTATTTGTAAGATCCCAAGGCTGACTTCTACCGTCATGCAGCACCGGCGAAGTTCGCCGGACCCGCAAAAGTGGGACCGGGTTTTCACTCCGCCTTCTTTAACTTGCTACCTTTCTAATTGGAGCCTTTCAGGGCGGGTACTGAGTCTGTTATGCTCTTTAGCGTGATTGTTTACCTATAGAAACAATGGCAAAGGCGAATTTAGCCGCACGATTATACACATCCCTCAGATAACGAAATGACTTATGCCGCCTCCTGAACATCTTTCTCAATGCTGATTTGTAACCATTTCGTTCATTTGCAATCTTCGCATGGTCTCATTCTTTATTTTTCTGATTTGTAATTAATTCAATTGACGCTCGTCAAGTCAAGTTCTGGAGGTATAATATAAAGCGGTGTTATCTCTCGTTTCATTCTTTTGCATCATCATTTCCTAGCCACTTAATTATGTCTTCCACTACTCAAAACGATTCAAAATCACATAGACCAATGTCGACCTCTCCATCTTCCACGGACATTGAAAACGAGAAAGTAGAAAGTGGCTCTCCTCAAACAATCACGCCGCCCATACCAACTTCAGAAGAAGATTATATCCTCACAAAACCACAAGGCTACAGAGTACACACCCCTGCTTTTGTTCTTCTATACCCCTCTACCTTTCTGAAAATGAACGTCAACTAATGCTCTATCCCAGTGGTTCCTAGTCTGTACTTCCCTCTACCTGGGGTGTCTGATCTACGGCCTCGACACCACAATAAGCGCCGACATCCAAGCAGCCGTGATCCACTCCTTCAACAGCCCATCCCAACTCACCTGGCTAGGAACCGGCTTCCCACTTGCATCTGTTTGTGGAATTCTCCCCGCGTATATCTCACCTAATTATCCTTCCTACAATTCCAACTTCAACATAGAAGCTGACAAACAGCAGCTCGGCATTTTACGCCGTCTTTGATTTGAAATGGATGTTTATCTCCAGCATGATAGTCTTCGAAGCCGGCTCTGCCCTGTGTGGTGCTGCGCCCAACATGGATGCGCTGATTGTGGGACGGGTGATTGCGGGATTGGGAGGCACGGGGATTTATATTGGGTTTGTCCACTTGGATCATTATCTCTGCGATCTTTGGAAAGAGACTGACTCTTTGTCCCTGTTAGGATCCTCAACTTCTTCTCGATGACTACGACAAATGAGGAGAGGGGAAAGTATATGTCTTTAATTGGTTTTGTGTGGGGAATAGGGGCTATCCTGGGGCCAGTTGTTGGTGGTGCTTTTTCGACTAGCGCAGCAACGTGGAGGTGGTCGTTTTATATTAACCTGTGTGTACACCCGCACTCACGATGGATGGTTGCTGATTTCTTAATAGTGTAATCGCAGCTGTGTGCGCGCCGATTTACCTCATCTATCTAACTTCAATGAAACCCCCGTCGACATCTGATAAAAGCACGCCGAAGAAACTTGCGAGTATGGATTGGGCTGGATTTATACTCAGCACGGGAACGCTTGTCTGTTTCACCATGGTGTTGACATTTGCCAGCGCGACATGGGCATGGAATGACCACCGAACCATCTCGATGTTCGTCGTGTTCGGCGTACTGCTTGCACTTACAGTTATTCAACAACATTTCTTCATCCTCACAACCCGCGAAGCTCGAATGATGCCTCCAGGACGTGTTACCAGGAACCGGAGTGAAGTTCTGCTCTGCATCCAGACGGCAGTGACAGTCACCAATATTCAAGTTCCGCTGTATTACATCCCGCTGTATTTTCAGTTTGTGCATAGCGATAGTTCTATGATGGCTGCTGTACGCTTGCTTCCATTTGTATTGATATTGATCGCCTCTAATATGAGCGCTGGGTTCTTGCTTCCCAAAGTGGGCTATTAGTACGTTTCGCCAAGCCAGCTGCACCGGGCACTTAGTTATACGAGCTAATCTTTTCCCAGTTGGGTAATGTACCTTGCGACCGGAGTTTTCATGACCATCGGCGGCAGTCTGATGTATACCATCCGCCTTGATAGTAACACCGGAAAAGTCTACGGTTATAGTATCCTCCTCGGCCTCGGTAGCGGCCTCACCTTCCAAGCAGCCTACTCCATCGCAGGCGTCAAAGCATCCCTCAAGAACTGGTCAGTCAAGGATATTCAAAGCGCTGTATCTCTGCAGAATATCTCCCAGGTGGGCGGTACACTGCTCTCGCTCCTGATATCTGGCCAGGTCTTCCAAAGCTATGCTTTTGAAAATCTAAAGCGCGTACTGGATGACAATAATTTGAGGTTCTCGGATGCAGAGATCCGAAGTACGGTCACAGGAACGCAAAGTTTAGTGTTTGAAGGGCTGCCTGATGTTGTGAAGGTGGAAGCAGTGGAAGCGATTATGGATGCTATGAAGAAGGTTTATATCTTGAGCATTGTGGCAGGGGTTTTGTCGCTGGTTTGTGCTCTGGCTATGAAGAAGGAAAGACTTTCTGGATTGAAGGGTTAAGAAAAGTACTTTCATTTAACCATTATTGCGAGGGCCAGAACCTGACGAGCGCTAAGCCTACTTTTAGAACGCTAGAACTCCTCCGCCACTACTTTCTAAGGAGAAAACGATCTATATCCACCCAAATTGTACTTTAGTTCTTTTCATCTAATTTAACCTTATAACAATATGATTGGATTGCAGCCAAACTACGTCTAGTATGCTCTACACTAATGCTCCCATATTTCGTATCCCTCTACTAGCAATATAACTACGTTTGTTGGGATATGTATCACGTGTACCGCGTGACCATTAATCCGATGACTAAGCAGCGATGAGGCCTTCACCTCATCGCCGCAACCTTAGCTAGAACCTCTTCTACACCTAGAAATGCAACCACGTAACCACCGATAAACTCGATCGAGAAGTACGTGAACCTAGGCCAACCCAGTGCACTATGTGTATACCAACAACGTTATCTTCAGCTACGGTTTCTTTTTCAAGTTTTACGCGCCCGCTTCATGAAAACGCCAAAGCTGTTTGCAATTGGACTAAATAAGTAGGGGGGTGCACGCGGATCTATTTTGATTGATACAACCCTAATATTAGACCGTAGGGTCACATTAAATAGGCGACTTTACAAATAGAGCCAATATCATGGCCTCCCTTAATCGGAAATTCTCACCCCTTCTTTCTACGCCCTCCAACCATGGGGTTGAAAATTACAGGGGGGTTGGGAAGCGCTCGATTTCAAGCAGTGCCCCAGGCAAGAGCCTCACTCAGCCCCGTAGTAAAAACAAGGATATATTATTTGGCCCCAGGTCTATCAGCATATTTCCGAGCCACATGGAACCCTAAAGTATTGAAAGAAAAAACTTTTCACCGTTGCTTCGATCGTGGTCTGGAAATTGAATTGCTTCAATCAAAATTCTACAACTTCTTCCTCCGTTTGAAAAATGTCGCAGCAATCTAGAGAAGCCGATACTCGTACAGGATATCAAAGGGTTGAGACGAGTTCGCCAGTTATCAGTTCGCCAACCATGCTAGCATTTATTAGTGATTTTGAACGCGATGTTACGAACGCTTTTGAGCTGGATGAGTTTCCGGAGTTAGTAACACCAAATATAACGTCTAGACCTTAATATTAACATTATATTCAGCCGAAGGTCAACGCCGGCTCTATTGCTACCTAGAAGCCATTCACCGGAGCCCTCGAATAGACCTCTACTTGCAGATGACGAGACTAGCAACGAAAAGAAACCCTTCTTCACAAGGACATATTCTGGTTGGAGAGGTGGCATTGTTCTAAACACCACCTTTGTAGGAGCTGTCCTCCTGGTCAATGTTATAGTCTTGATATGGGCTGCAGCAAAATTCAAATTCGTAAACGGCATCGCGATCGTTTTCACAGGCGATTGTGCCAAAGCAGAAAACTTATCCATAGTGGTCCACGTTATTATCAACATTCTCAGTACCCTGCTTCTGGCTGCGAGCAACTATGGGATACAAATCTCTGCAAGCCCTTCCAGGGCCGATATCGACAGGGCTCATCAACAGCAGAAGTGGTTAGATGTTGGGGTGTTTTCCTTCCGGAACTTGAAATGGGTATCGAAATATCGAATTGCGACATGCGGAATTCTTTTTTTGTCATCGGTACCCTTACATTTGGTGTAAATCATCGCCGGATATATGTTTCCTTCTTGCAGGCTAATGAGATTACAGCTATAACTCGGTTCTCTCCTCGTCATTCGCATCGGTTAATGGTTTGGATTCACTCTATGTCGCACCTGAATATTTCGATCTAGCAGCAGAGTATACACCTCCGTTCTGGAACAATGCAATGTTAGCAAAAGTCAGAACACAAGCTGCACAAAAGCAGTTGAAACATGTGGGGGTAGCAGAATGCAATAAAACCCTAGCAACTACTTTCCAAAACAAATACCAAGTCCTTGTCTTCGTGCAGGACCTCCTAGGCTACAACAACAGTACAACGCTGGTAGACTACACATTGGGGGGGCACAGTGTGGAACTGCCTAATGATTATTACCCCCATCTTACCGATTGTTGGGCCGGCGCAGCAGAGGTCGACTGCCAACTATTTCTTAATTCGGGCTTATTGGTTGGTGTCATTATTGCCAACATTGTCAAGTGTGGTGTAATGATTCTCATGGTATTAAAGTTCACAAATCCTTCTTTAATTACACGTGGGGATGCAATAGCATCATTCTTGAAGGACGAAGACCCGACTACTATTGGTCTACGTAATACCGGAAGGCGCAGATTTCCCCTTGGAAAATGGTGTTTTCAAGAAGATATGCCCTATGTTAGTATAGAAAAGCGTTGGTGCTCTTCTCTATCCCGTTTAAAATGGATTTTCTCGATCTTAACGTAAGTCGTGTCCTAATACATGTAATTCTCTGGCTCTAACTATCACAGGTGTATCACATTTGTCGCAACCACAGGCGGTATGTTAGGTCTTACTCTTGTTAAAATTTACCATAATTATTCGCGCGAGGCTTCTTCGCCGAGGAGCTTCGATCCGTCAATATGGAGCTTGAGCTTTGGTCAACCATCCATATATTCAACCATTCGATCAGGCGGTGACTCGCCTGTGCTAGCCTCCCAGGAAGGCAATCCCTTTTTATTTGTCTTGTTGGCAAACACTCCGCAACTAGTACTCTCAACAGGATATCTGCTTATAAACAACCTTCTGACGGACATGTTGGGAGCTTGGGAATGGAGCAAGCTTGGAAAGTTTAAGACAAGGCTCCGAACTACAGTTCCACGAGGACAACAACGAAGCACATACTTCCTGCAATTACCATATCAGTATGCAGTACCGCTTATGTCAATCATGGCGGTGATGCACTATCTAGTTTCCTCGAGTCTCTACCTAGTGGATATTAGACTTTACGAAGAAAATGCCATTGATATATCAGAATTGAACAGTTGGTGGATGCTTGATTATTCGCCGGTTGCTATTATCTGTGTACTTTCGGTAAGTGTTCTGCTAATTGGGTTTCCAATTGTTCTCGGCTTTCGGAAGCTCTATCCTGGGATCCCTATGTCTGGATCTTCTAGCGCGCTTATCAGCGCTGCCTGCCATGCTCCACCAGAAGAAGGCGATGCAGGGTTGCTGCCCGTGCAGTGGGGTGTGGTTGACAGCACGATAAACCCAGAAACTGGGGTTGGTCGTTGTAGTATATCCTCAGGGAAAGTCTCTACGCCTGTTGACGGACAATTATATAGTTGATCTAAGTAATAAAATTTAAGATGATAGTCTAAAAGCAGGGAGGAAGAGGGCTTCAAGAACACAGCGCGCATAGTCCCTAATTAACATCCTAAGACCTTACATTTGTTACAGTATAAAATAGAGCACTCTATAGTAACCATGCTCCCGCCTGGCTCCAGGACTTTAATCATACTCATAGATTGCCATTAGCTACCTGGCTTATTATCTATATCTAAGCGGAAGTAGAAGAAGGCCGCAGAGGTAGGTGCTAGCGCACTTAAGAGCGAAGGAGGTAAAGGAAGTATAGTTACTCACCACAGTAGATCTAGGTAAAGATAGAGAGGAAAGAGGAAGTACCATTCCGCTTATAAAGAGAGAGCTTGTACCTATGCAGTCGAAAGCAAGTTCACGTGAACAGCATTGTATTTGCTTGGCCCGACTAAAGTGTCTTGCGGTAACAAATTCAAGCCTCTATAGATAACTCGTCACGCCTGCATCTCCCTCTTTGGCCAATTCTGGCGACACTGAACCTGGTAGATCACTTCGCGCGCGCTCCATAACAAGGCTGACTTTGTTCTTGTCCAAGGACAAGGCAGGTTAAGATCTGCTGAGAATACCATCATAGGGCGGCGGCAGAAATCACAACCTACTGCATGAGGGCTGCACGTTGTTGATCACCTGTGGTTTGTCCTATTGTAGAGGACTGGGACTAGAGGCCCAGTGAAGAGTCCGCCCCCGGAATCAGCCCAGCAAAGCCACCGCCATACTTCTCGATTCTTGAAATCTTGGACATGAGGCATTCCTCAGCCCCGATGAAGCTGTCGCTAGTTTAGATAAATTCTTAATAACTTCTCAGTGTCTTATAAGACAATGGACATTAAGTACCCCCAGCTGGACTTGAAATTACCCGTCGCTCGGTAAAGTTATTCGCGACAATGGAAAAGAAATCAGGTAGGAATTACCTGACATTGCCAACCATACACAATTCGCTGCATCCACTTCGCGACGAAGCTCAGGCTCATCATCACCTCCAACAAACCCAAGATATACAGTTCAACCCACCACTACCTAGTCGGAGGCAACGTACCGTGAGATTCAGTAAGAACAAGAAGAGCAAGAACGACGTAGATCTCTCGGGCTCGTGAGAGAAAGACATTATGTCGCAGCAGCTTGTCAAGACCCACATCCAAATGATGGGGTAGTGTGGTGGGAGATAGGACCGCAATCCAATCACGAGTTGAATATCGACTGGAGAACATGTCGGAGAACTGAATTGCTAAATCTTGCATTTCTTCGGCGATTGTTTAATGTTTGCGATTCGGAACACAATTGTCAAGATCTTGGATCCGAATTTCCACTCAAGCAGACGAATATCAGGTTGATTGATTGCATGACTGTGTGTCTTGTTGATCGATCGATCAAAGAACGGTATTTTGGGCTGAGTTACGTATGGGGTGCTGTCAAAAGTCTCGAAACTACTCTTGTAGATCTTCCTGATCTCCAAAGGCCTGGAGGTTTGAGAGCGAGGGAATGGGGACAATGGAGTTGGGACTTAGGGAAGAGACGAGTGACAGGTGTACTGGCTTTAGGATGGATATAATAAGGTGGGGTTGGGTGAGGTCGGTTTGGGAAAGAGCCGTTTGGGGGCTCGGGCTTTGCGGTTTGGATGGATGGGCGAGAGCTTTCGTGGGATGATAGCATGATAGTCTTATAAACAATATTCTGTCCCATATTATCGCGCAGAAGGTGTTCTCATA